ACTCTTCTTTAAAAAAAATAAATCCCCAGGATATGATGAAATACCTAGCAACATAGTTATTTTTAACAAAACTAGCTTAAGTAAACCTTTATTTCATATACTAAAACTCTCATTAAAGTTTGGTGTTTTCCCTGATGCTCTTAAAATGGCTAAAGTAATCCCAATTTACAAAGGTAACGATCATTCGAACATTAAAAATTATAGACCTATATCTTTACTTTCTGTATTCTCAAAATTGTTTGAACGCGTAATTTATAATAGAATATTCGAATATTTCACTAAAAATAACTTATTCTACCCAAAACAATTCGGATTTCAAAAAAAATCACTCGACTGAGCATGCAATTATTGAAATAGTCAACCAAATAACTGATGGGTTTGACAATAACAAATTTACTTTAGGAGTATTTATAGATCTATCTAAAGCATTCGACACAGTCGACCATTGCATTCTCTTACAAAAAATTAAGCATTATGGTATAATTAATACAACCTACTTCTATGTATATATTATGTTTCATAATGTGCAATCCGGAGTATTAAATGTCGTTTGCGGAGTTCCACAAGGATCAATCCTTGGTCCGCTCTCATTCTTAATCTATATTAACGACTTTTGTAATGCATCATTAAAACTGAACTCAATAATGTTTGCAGACGATACTAATTTATTTCTTACAATAATCATATTAAACATCTTTATACAGATATGAACATAGAATTGAATAAAGTAAATAGTTGGTTTAAAGCTAACAAAATCACACTTAATGTTGAGAAAACCAAATATACTCTTTTCCATAAAAAAACATAAGAATTAAATATTCCTCTTAAATTGCGCGAACTGTACTTAAATGATACAATAATTAAAAAGCAAGCAAGTATAAAATTCTTCGGAATCCTTGTCGATGAAAATTTATCCTGGCTTCCCCATATAAATTACATACATTCAAAAGTTACCAAAACTATTGGCGTAATGTATAGGGTTAGACCATACGTCAATATGTTAAGTCTCAAATTAATATATTTTGGACTGATACACTGTTTTATTAATTATGCAAATATATCATGGGCAAGTACGCAAACTTCAAAACTTCGAAAAATTTATAGGCTCCAAAAACACGCTTGCCGTATTATATACTGTAAACATAAACGTGAACATGCAAAACCTCTTATGAGAGATATGAAAATGATGGATATATTTGAAATAAATATTTATCAGTATCTAATTTTTATGTATAGATACTATAACAACCTCTTACCAGCAAACTTCAAAGATAAGTTTGAAATTAATTTAAATGAAAAGTATGGTCTAAGATCAAATAGAAATAAAAACTTTAAATTGCCTCGGAAATGTAAAAAACTCTCTGAAATTTGTATATCTTACCGAGGACCTAAATTATGGAATGACTGTCAAAAGGAATTTAAATTTATGGTAAAGTCTTTAAATTCATTTAAGTTTCAATTAAAAAAAGAAATTTAAAAAATTTTAACTTAAGATAAAGTTTTTTCTTTTTACTTTTTTTAATTAATTTAACCTTGTCTTGGCTTTTTAATGATAACATTGTTATTATTATATTTTTATACGAGCTATTTATTCTTACGTTGTTTTATTTAAACATATACCTAGGGGTTCTATGAAAAGATTGCGATAACGTAATGCTATCCTTATCTTCTTTGAGCCCCTATCTGATTTAACTTAATTTTGTTGTAATGTATATACTTTTATATTTTATTTTATGAGATTCCATATGTATACGTGCATTGTAATAATATTATACGCTGTTAATCAGAAAAAAAAAAAAAAATTTAATTTGTTAGATATAGAAAATAATTTTAGTTTATTTTTAGTAGTAATTTAAGAAAAATGTTGCCATGCTTTGAATTATGCTTATTCTTGTCTATTGAATCATATTATCTTTTTTTATTTAACTTTTAAATTGTTTAGCTTTATTTTTATAAACAATTTTTTTTTGGTATTGGTTTTTTTAAGGATTTCATTCACTTTTGTTTAATTTTTGAGGAAAATATTGAGACCTTTATTGACCATTTTTAATACGTCGTTTTTTTTTGTATAAAAAATGATAAAAAAATATAAAAATAAACAGAAACGATATTTTTTGTAATACATTTTTTATATTTAAATATCGCCAAATGTAATACGTAATAAAGTTTCGTAAAAATTATACATAATAAAATTTCAATTAAATATCGTCACAAATATCGTCATAAATATCGTCATAAATATCGTCATAAAATTCACAAATAAAATTGCAAGAATCAAAAGTAGAGTAATATTAACCAAAATCGTTTCTTAAGTTTTAAAAATTTCTTTTTTTGTTATAAATTTGAATGAACTTAATGAATTTACCGTACCTTCGAATCCTTTTTGAAAGGTATTCCATACTTTAGGACTTCGATATGAAATGCTATATTCTGAATATTTATTTATTACCGGAGGCAGTTTAGATGTGTTTAACATATTTACTTTAAAATTACAGTTTTCATTTTTATTTAATTCAAACTTGTTATTAAAGCTTATAGAAGAGATATTGCTTCTCTTATTAATCAAAAACCTAAATGTATGTGCTACTTTTAAGTTCAATGAGCCAGCTATGTTTGCAAGTGATTCCTATTTAGCACTTATTATTTTTTTCTCCTCGCTAAGTTATTAATAGTTTAACAGATTGTGCAAAAAGCTTTTTGTTTATATTATTACAATATTGCAGAAGGTTTCAAATGCAGAAAAACAAAGCGTTACCTTATATATAATATTAAATGCCACTCACAACTAACATCTAAGTTATTCCAAATCTTCAGGAGCAATACTGCTATTGGAAACAAAAACACTGCTTTATCACAATGTTTTTAGAAGCAGCAAATCCACCACAAATCTACAACATTTTTTTTAGAGGGGTATGTGCCAATAAGCAGTTTAACAGAATTAACTTCATTTACTTGGCAAAATAATAATAAGTACGGTTGGTTCAGCTCGGACTATAAGCTAGAGTTAAGATCAAGGTTACCAGATCTAACTTACCAAATGTTACTTGTTACTAGTCGAACATTTTACTATTGGCGTGTTGTAGGCTTAAAAAGTAGTAGATTTCTCTTCTTTTTTTTTGACACGCTACAATAATAAATTATGTCTTTAGCAGCAGTTAACATCTAGAACGCAAAAGATTAAGCTGATATTTTTGCATACGCTAATGTACCATTTAATTGATTAAAATATATAATAATAAAACTCGTCATAAGTCATAAAATATTATTTTTAAAATTAGATTTTTTAAGGTTTTTTCATTAAAATATCTATATTTTTCTTCCATAAAGTAAAACAAAAAAACCTACATTTAAAGGTATCTCGCACAGCTTGAATGGTACTTTCGACCGCCTTTTACTGTTTTTTTCAACTCTTCAAAAGCTATATAAAACTCAAAAGCTGTGTGAAACTTTTCTTGTAGGCGTAAACGATCACTATTGTTCAGCTTATATAAAAGTTCATGCAAATCGGAAACATTAATGCTTATAAAACAAATTAACCGATGCTAAAGGTTTTCTACAAATAATGGTTGAGGTTTTTGAAGCAAAATAGTCTTTTTTCTAATAGTCATTAGATTGCTCATTATTTGTTGTTCATCATTAGCTGTTCACTATTTGTTGATCATTATTTGTTGGGTCTTTATTTTAACTGTCTCGATAAATACCGAGTTTGGTTCTGTTGAATGATGCCGATGAGCTTGAAGCAAAAATCAAATAGTGACAATCTTAGATTTCAGCAAAGGTATTTAGAAGACCACAACATACTTTAATAAAGGCATAGGAAAAGTAAGTTTAGAATAAATTTGCTTTTTCTACGTCATTAATCCTTAAAAATTAATAATACTAATTAGATAATACTTAAAACTCCTCCTCCTCCTACAACTTTCTAGCCTCCTTCAAAACAAAAGTATTTCACGGATAATATACGGCAGGTTTTCAAAATTGTTGTACTTGGGAGGTTTAAACTTTTCATATTTAAATTGTTTGAAAGTTTTTGCTATAAAATATTTAAATACATTTACGGAATCAATAACTCTTAAAAAAACAAAACAAAAAACAGTTTTCATAGTTATGACAAAAAGCTTTCCCTTAGTTCAAACATTTGTTTTTTAAGAAACTCTCATTAAGTTTTCTTAAAAATTTTACTTTACGAAGATTTAACGGCGAGAAACGGATAACATCAACAATCAACGAGAAAAGTAGAAACAAAGATTTGATTGTTTAAATTGAAGCTTTTTTTTTATTCTATTTTTATAATAATGTTCAAGTTTTAAAAACCTTATTGAGTGTTTTATGTTCATTAATGAGCTAATGAATTTTAATAAGTTTACATAAAACAAAATTAGTGGTATTGAAATAGATTTGAATCAAAAGTTGTGAATTTCACCTGCGTTATTTAAAACTTTAATTGCATGGAAATTTGTTTTTGATTCTAAAGTTATAATATATATTTTCATGCTCAAATGTTAAGAAAAGTCTTTTGGTATTAACTTTAAAATTGCGAATGAGATTTGGATTTAGTCATTATTTTAGACGCTGTTAATCGCAACATATTAAAATTTGACTAACTGAAGGAAATATTCCAGCTATTGTTGTAACTTTAATAAACAATAGATGTTTTTTTTCTCTCTAAATAGTTTTTATACTCTAAATAAAAGCCTTTTATTTGAGAGAGGCGTTTAATCAAATTAAAACATTGATTGCAAATATAAATATACATAAAAGAGAGTTTTTGATAATTTTTAATTCTTTTTCATTTCTCATATCATCTTAAAATGGATGAGTTTTGACTTACATATAAAAAAAGGGGTGCAAAAGATTCTTTACTATATGGAGAGAATTTTTACACTCTCGAGCTAAACTTTATTTTTGGTTCATAACTTTATTTTATAAGCTAAACTTTATTTTTGGTTCATAATAATCTTTAAATTAATCTCGATGTACCAAACCAGTAGCCAGCCCAAATCGGATATTTAATCGGAAATAAAATATAACATCGGTCTCAAATTAACCTACTCTTTAATTTATGTTATGACCTTTAAAATAGTTCTGCTGATAAGCATAGATATCTGTTGTTCATATAGTCGTTAATTGATCGGTAAATATGCAAACAAATTTCAATTTGCTTATCATCGAAAAGGTTTTTCAAGATTGTACAACCATAGATGCATTTGTTAATTCATTAAACGAGCTTCTATCAATTGTAAAGGGAGGTGTAGACAATACTGAATTGGTACTGTTTAAATCCATAAATTTAGAATCTGTGAAAGAGGTTTTTTTTACATACCGTTTAAAAGAGATTTATAAATGTATATTTATTGCAACAAACAAATTAAACTGTTTAAAAAGTTCATATAGATTTTTTAACGAATTTAATAAAGAGATTGTGAAGGTGTGTCCAAAATATATACTTATATGTTTTTTGGAAATGTTATCAGACGAAAGGTAATAGTAGTAATTTTGATATAATGAACCTGATCTTTGTACTTAATTTATAAAATTCTAAATTAAATGCTAAAGTAATTTTGAAGTTGTAAAGTGCAGTGTATAATTTACACATTTACTGAAATTTGCAGTTAATCAGTGTCATTTAAAATATGTATTATAGTTAATTTCTGGTTAAACATTTTAATAATTTGATAATTTTAATATTTTAAAGTAAATTGACTTTATAAACAGAATCTCTTGTGACTGAAAGTCACCACTTGTACAAATAGTTTTGACAAATTTCTTTTTTGTAACTTTTAAAAGACTTGCAACAATTTTTAATAGTATTGTTTTTTAATTGAAATAATATACATATATAAAAAAAAAAAAAAAAATTTTTTTATTAATTTGCAAATAAATATAACACTTTTCTTAAAAGAAAATGGTATTATTGCAATTAAAATCATTATTAATATCTTTTAATTAAATATCTGAAAAAAAAAATCTGTTTCAGAAAATGTGAAACACATTTGTTATAATACTATTGTTTAAAATTTTACAAATATATATATATATATATATATATATATATATATATATTTGTAAAATTATATTATTATATATATTTTATATATATATATATATATATATATATATATATATATATATATATATATATATATATATATATATATATATATATATATATATATATATATATATATATATATATATAGGCCTGGATTTACCCCATTTGGGTCCTAGGCAGATTCAAATTTTGGGGCCCCTAAAGTGATATATTAACCCTTTATTCAAGAATCAAGAATGTACTTTTAAAAGCAACTTCAAATATTGACACTCAATCAAATTTAAAAAAAGGACTTCGGTACGTGAAAATGTTTTATTTTCAAATTTTACATTAACTTTTTTCTACACTTTTTCTTAGCAAATTCTTCAATCAACTTGTCAAAAATTTGATTATACCCTATATTTTAATTTCCCAAATTATGAATAAATAAGGAAAGGGTGTATGTTCCAACTAAAACAATGGGGGGGAGGGGCCCCGATTTCTTAAACAGTTTTAAAAAAACTTTTATGATAGCAACCTCGGAATTATCATTTTCCAGTTTGCAATGACTCAATCACAATTAAACATCACCATGGAAAAATATATCCATAAAATTGTTTAAGATACTATCGCATACTAACTATTTTTTAAATGAATGTGTGCTGGCAAAAGATGACTAATCACATTAAAAAGATGATTAATCTTTTTGTGTGATAAATAATTGAATAAATAGATCATTTTAATCTATTTTGCTGTATCATACGAAATTGAGGAACTTTTTTCTCTTTAACATATGTTTTTTAAGCCTCCCCCCCCCCAACTTTTGTGAACTTTCTACTCCACTGTGTATATATATATATATATATATATATATATATATATATATATATATATATATATATATATATATATATATATATATATATATATATATATATGTTTATATATATATATATATGTATATATATATATATATGTATATATATATATATATATATATATATATATATATATATATATATATATATATATATATATATATATATATATATATATATATATATATATATATATATATATATATATGCATAAAATATATCATGGCTGCTGTTTCAAATAGAGCTTTATGGCTTCTTGTTATTTTTTGGAACTAATCACTTAAAGAGTGTTACTAAAACTTTCATAACTTTTGAAATACTAGAAATAATTTTTTACTGTAAAAAGATCTATCACGCTAATACAATTTTGTATCTTATGACATTCCTTTGATTTTTTAATAAATGGGGAAACGATGAACATAGGTAAATTTCTATAATTTATTGTTACATTTTATCAAAACAAAATACAAATAAACATTTTTTAGATATTTATTATTAAATATAAACATTGTTAAACTAATATAAATTTAAAAAATTTACTTGAACTAAATGTGATATAAAACTAGGGTTGTTAAAGATCAGATATCAAAATCACAAAATAAAATTCTAGAAAATGTTTTAATGTTTTATTTTTTACGTCATCGCTTTAGAAACGTAAACACAAATTTATGCAAAAAACTAGAGAAATTTGCAAAACATGACAAGTTTAAAAACATATTGCCTGACATAGCTAGAAGAATATATTTTTTTGATTTTAATATGCATAAAAGGTTAAAATTTCAATAACTTATGTCATCCATCTTAATTATTATGTTTGGCATTTAAAAAGAATAACTTTTATAGTATAAATGCATTAAAAACAAATGAAACACATGAATGACAACATAAAATTCAAATAGATTAAACATTCATTGATAAGTATTCTAAGTTTCAATAGTCCAGCAGAAAGATAAGTTAGGGAATTTTAGTTTTCCCAAGACAGGTTTTGGTAAATATTGTATGTAAAAAATATAATTAAGTATAACAGTTCTAGAAATTTTATAAAAATATATACATTTTTATTAATTAGACATCCTGCAATTCAGAGTTGTATAGCAAATTTAATTGGAAGTCTATTTGAAAACAACTATCTTTTTTCTTTGATATGGAATGAATGTTTGTTATTTCCAATCAGCATAGTAAATAATACCTCTATTTTTGAACAAAAAGTGAACGAATGGTGGGATGATATTTTAAAAGTTCTTGTATCTGTTCCAGACAGAATTTCAAATATACTGAAGCATAAAACAAAGTAATTTTCTAATTTGTATTTTACTTTTTATATTTCATTTTATTATTTTCATATTATATTTCACATAATGAATTAATCAAATCCAAATCAAATGACTTTTATTGTAACTATTTTTAATTTTTTAGCAATATATTTCTGCCAAATGTGTATTTTTTAAATTTGTCTGAAGTGGTACTTGAGGTTCTAAGAAAAATACATGAATTTTTGCAAAGTAAGCCTTTTTTTAAAATTTATCTGAGTTAGTTTTACACAAAAATGTCATTAAGTGTGAAAAAGCAACACCAGAAAAACTTTGAAAATATTTTAAATTTTTTATAAAAAAAAGTTGTTGACTAGTTGTTCCTATGATAACATTTAAATTTTAGTCTTCAGTCTGGTTTCCTATATAATATTTTAAAGTTATGTTAAGTCTCAATTGGTTACAATTAGTAACAAGATTACATTCTCTAATTTTCAGTTAAATATTAAATAAACTTGATAACGCATTAAATGCTTGTTTATCATTGTTGCATTGCTATATATAATCTTTTATTTTATTTTTATTGTAAAATAGCTTCATCTTTATTGTTTACTTTTTTTTACATCTTTATTATTATATTTTTTACATCTTTATTGTTTACTCATGAAAAAAAAAAAAAAAAGTTTTAATTCACAACAGTACGTCTCAATAGTTTTGTTTGTTTAACTTTTTAAAGTGTAACCAGTTGAGATGTAATGTAACGTAACTAAATGTTGATTTGAGATGCAAATAAAGTACTTATAGTATAAATGTAGATTTTTTAAAAAAAACATATTAATGCGTTTACAATATTGTTAATCAAACAATTTTTTAAATATGGTAACTCTATAATGAGTTTTGATATTTATCAATGTGTTGTTTATCGAGACATTTGTGATTATAATATTTTTATTTTTATTATATAAATAGATTCGTCTTAATTAATTACTTTATTTTTGTTTGTTACTAATTTTTACGAAAAAAAAAATAAAAGTAAAATTTTATGTCTTGGTTACATAAAAATAATAGACATTTTGCACATAACGCAACGAATCATGTTCAATTTTAAAATGTCATAGGGATTTAAAACCACTACTTTTTAAGTAGTTATCAATTACCATTTATGAAGATACGTTAATGTCATTTTAAAGTTAAATAAGTCTTTGATTTCAATGTATTTTTTTAATATTGTTAAATATGATTTTAGTAAAAAAAAAAAAGTTTTAAAAGTAAATATTGTGAAAAGAAAGTATTTATATTTTAAAAATGTGTTTTAAATCATCATTGTTTCAAGTCTTCATTCAAATAATAAATGACACTTTTTTGTCGGTTTTTATATTGTTTTGGTTACATTATCTAAAATATCCCTCCCTTCCATATACGCATACTTATATGAAGTACAAGGAATAGTTATAAAATATTTTTAAGAAATTTAAATATTTGGGCTTTCAATTATTATTACCATCGTGATCAGATTCTACAGCTAAAGTATCTCAATCAGGATTATTATAATCAAGCGCATCAATATTATTTTTTTAAAAGCACATCAAACACATAAATTGATAGCATGATTGTAAAAAAGCACATCAAGAATACATAAATGAAATGATTGTAATACATTTGAGGTTTAGGTTTAGAGCCTAATTTTCATCAAGCTAGCTTTATCCGTAACTCCATCATTACATTATAAAGTCACTATGTCCAAGTTTAAATAGAATGAATTAAGGTTGTCACTTCAGTTTTTTAGCTTTTGATGCACAATTTCATTATGATGCACATTTAAGTTTATATATCTTCTGTTTTTAATGCTCTTTAAAGATTGTGATTTCATTCCTTTTTATATTGAAGTTTTATATTAATAGAACTTATAACTTGTTTTTTCATTAAATTAAGATATTTAATGATAATATCACTAATGATTTCATGTCATGCATCCTGGAGTTCAACTGCTGATTGTGAGTTTGTACTGCAAGCAATACTGTTAAAGCTGATTTTATCAACTGCAGCTGATTCTATTATCTGCAGTCTGCCTAAAATTTCAGATAAGGTTTAAAAACAAGTTTTGAAAAAGTTTTTAATTTAAAGTATTTTGGCAAAGGTATGTTTTGTTTGTATTCTTGGAGGAAAGGGTATTGCATTTTACAATTTTAATTCATATTTAATTTTAAATGCTTTTAAATTACTGTTTTTTTTTTTGTGTTTTTTTTTAAGATTAAAAAATTGAGTAGGGGTTTAGATATGTACTAAATATGAAAACATATTACGCATAAATATATTGTTTAGTAACACACGCTTTTAAAACTGTGAAATAAAAACTGTGCTTAGTTTAAACTTGTTTTAACAATATTCCATAATTTTATTTTTACAATGCTTGTAAAGTAACTTATTTAAAAATGATAAATCAAATCTTATTTAGCTATGTCTCAAGACCTTGATTAGTTTAGAAAAATTAAGTTCTCAATACTTTTAATTTAATAACATGAATAAATATAGGTCAAAATCTGACTGGGTTTTAACTAAATTTGGTCTGCAATAAAAAAAGATATTTCAAGTTGTCTCAACCAAAAACAAGTTGTATAAATATTTGTTATTTTTACAATATATTATGTTATTTTATAAATATTTTGTTATTTTTACTTAGTTGTAAAAATAACATAATACACATCTGTATTTTTGCATATTTTAGATTGATCTTTTAAGATTGTTGAATAAAAAATTTTAAAAATTATAAATCAAAAACATAATAGAAATACTATCCAATCTCTAATAACCAGGTGTGTTAAATAAAGATAGTTTAGTATTCATATAAAAAGAACAAATTTAGTAAATTTCTACTACTTAGGCGGGTAACTTAAATATAATTAAATATTTCTTCATAATCATCAGAATTCTAATTCGTCGCCATCCAATGACCTTTTAACATTTTTATCATTCCTTAAACATACATTGTGAAATTTTATTATAATTATATTTTAACTGAAAAATTTGAATTCAATGTAACTTTTTAATACTCATTTTGAGCAATTCTCAGGCTGATTCCATCAACAGCTGAAAAATATCAGAGTACTAACAGTGCCATGTTGCGCATGGATGGTGTCCCTGTTTGTACTTTTAATGTGCATTTCCAAGGCCACTTTGGAGCCCTTTGTTATGGCTTAGGGTTTATTAGTGGAAATGAGGCAATTGCTTGGGCTATAAAACAGTGTACTTTGTATTATCTATGTTTCGAGTCAAGTTCTTTAACAAATTTAAAAATGAATAAAGTAGCAAAAACTATAAAACACAAAAAACCACAGTCATCACCAAGTTCGCTAAACCTATTGTTCACCAATATTCGTGGTCTTCGAAGTAACTTTTCTTCTGTTGAAGAAAAGTTACTTCGAAGACCTTACTTCTTATCTCTTGCAAAGTTCACCAGACCTACTTGCTCTTTGTGAGACTAATTTGAGTTCTTCTGTCTCATCTTGTGATCTTAGTGTTGATGGTTATCTTCCTTTAATTCGTAAAGACTCCAATAGTCACATGCTTGGCCTGGGCATTTACATTCTTAAGAATTCACCCATTTGTCGGGAAACTAGGTTTGAATTCAGACTACTCTTTTATGTGCTTTCGTTTAGCACCACTTCACTCTATCACCTTTCTCTTTGTTCTATATCGCTCTCCTTCATTTCAAGACTGCACTCTTCTTGATGTTATTTCTGATTATATTGACCAAGCCCTCATTCTTTATCCATCAGCCAATATTGTTGTTGTCGGTGACTTTAATGTTCATCACACTGAATGGCTTGGCTCTAGTGACAGTGACTCTGCAGGCATTAAGACCCATAGCTTTTGTCTTTCTTAATCCCTAACTCAAATAGTCAACTTTCCAACTTGCTTTCCAGACAACCCAAATCATTTACCTTCTCTACTCGACTTATGTCTTGTTTCTGATCCTAGTCAGTGCTCAGTTTCTCCACACTCACCCTAAGGTGCTTCTGATCATGGTTTGGTCTCTCTCAAACTATTATCTCATTCTTCTTTACCATCAGAATCCCCCTATCATTGTACATCTTACAACTACCTTAAAGCTGACTGGGACTCTTTCCGTGATTTTCTTTGTGATGGCCCTGGGTAGAAATCTTTTGTCTCCCTGTTGACAAATGTGCTTCTTTCATAACTTTGTGGATTCAGGCTGGCATGGAATCCTTTATTCCCTCTCGACGATTCCAGGTCAAGCCTCACTCTTCTCCATGGTTTTCTTCACATTGTGCTGCTGCAATTGCCAATTGAAATCATTACTTCCATATCTATCAGCAAAACAATTCTCCAGAAAACAGACGTCTGTTTATTACTGCTAGGAACCATTGTAAAAAGGTTTTGTCTAACGCCAAAACCCGCTATTCTCAGATCATGAAATCTCGAATTTCATCACAAAAATTAGGCTCTCGTGACTTCTGGAGAATCTTTAATAGTATCAATAATAAGGGCAAGTCTGTAATTCCACCTCTTTTGTACGGTTCAGACTTGGTCACATCACCTAAAGACAAAGCTGAATTGTTTGCCGAGAACTTTTCATCAATATCATCTCTTGATGCCACTAGTTGCGTTCTACCTGATATAGCCGTCAAACAGGTTGATCCATTGCTCGACATTCGTATCACTCCAGCTTCTGTATCTAAAGTGATTTCCTGCTTAGACTCTTCTACAGCTTGCGGCCCAGATAACATACTGTTATAGTCTTGCAGAAGTGTTCTCCGTAGCTGTCGTCTATCCTTTCAAAACTATTTAACAAGTGCTTATCAGAGTCTTGTTTTCCAGCCTGCTGGAAAGCAGCATCTGTTACCCCTATTTTCAAAAATTCTGAAAAGAGAGATCCAATTTGTCTAACTACCGTCCCATTAGTCTTCTTCCTATCATAAGCAAGGTTTTTGAATCTTCAATAAACAAACACTTAATCTCGAATCTCATAACCTACTTTCTGATCATCAATATGGATTTCGATCTTTTCGTTCTACGGCTGATTTGCTATCAGTAATAACCAATAGGTTTTATCGCGCATTAGATAAAGGTGGAGAGGTTAAGGCCATTGCTCTTGACATTTCTAAAGGGTTTGATAAAGTTTAGCACGCTGGTCTTCTCCATAAGCTTTCTTCTTACGTTGTATCTGGTAACATCTTTAAGATTATTGAATCCTTCCTTTCCAATCGTAGTATAAAAGTTGTCCTTGATGGACAGCACTCTTCTTCTTATTCTGTAACCTCAGGGGTTCCTCAAGGTTCAATCCTTGGCCCTATACTTTTTTAAATTTACATTAACAATCTTCCAGATATTCTCACATCTAAGGTCGCATTGTTCGCTGATGATACTACCATTTATTCTTGTCACGATAAGAAGCCAACTCCTGTTTAGAGCAGTGCCCAACTATAATGGGCACTGCTCTGAAGAGCTATCGTCTCTTGTGCCATCTACTAAAATTCATTCTTGTGTTACTCATCATTCAATTAAGTCTCATCCTTTTTCTGTTACTGTTCCTAAGTGCTCCAAAGACTCTTATTCATCTAGTTTTTTTCCTCGAACATCAGTTCTTGGAATTCGCTTCCTTCATCTTGCTTTCCTGATTCATATAATTTGCAATTTTTTTAAATTGTCTGTTAATCGTTATCTTGCTCTACAATCTTTATCTTTTCTCTTCCAGTAACTTCCAACACTAATTAGTGGTTGCTTGCAGCCTTGTTGGAATTATCAACTGCTTTATCACAAACTTATCTAATTATTTTTAACTGTATCTCTTTTGGTTTTAATTGCCTCTATAGTAGCCTACCAAAGAAAAACTATCAGCTGAGCCTGTTAAATGTGATGAAAATGTTACTGTTCTTTCTTTTAGAACTGTACCAATTTTATAAAAACAACATGGAACTTCATGAGCAGATGCTCCATTAGCAAATATTTTATTGTCCATATAATTTCTGTATGTATAGATAAGAGTGTGTATTTTTGTTTTACATCCATATTTGGCCTGAATATCCTGCTTTTTTGACATATATAACCACATCATCACATACTTTAATTGCTCTTGTGCATGAATTTGACCATTTCTGAATGTTTTTATCTGACCATTTCAGTTTAACTTTTGTTTTGGTCTCATTCTAAATTCAGGACCTTTAGATTACTTTTTTTTCTTGTATATTTATTAAGTACTTCAAGTTTTTTTGTAGAAAATATTATTTGTTATTTTGTATATCATATATATGGTATTTATGTTACTGTTACCCACAGTACCAGGAATTAACTAAATCCTAATGTTTATAATATAATATAATTTAAATTGCTTCATGTGTTACCACAATCTTTAGACAGTAGTAAAAATTTATTTTGCTACCTATATATATATATATATATATATATATATATATATATATATATATATATATATATATATATATATATATATATATATATATATATATATATATATATATATATATATATATATATATATATATATATATATATATATATATATGTGTGTGTAGAGTTGCAAAAAAACGCGTTTTTTTCCTCTTGCGTTTTTTTGGGTCAAAAAAACGTGTTTTTTTTGGTTTTTTTTGATGTTTTTTTGGTTTTTTTGGTGTTTTTTTGGTTTTTTTGACTTTTTAAACAAGTTTTTTATTTTTCTTGGTAAATAATTTGGAAGAGTTTTTGTTTTATACTGTTTATTTATAGTATATTATCATTATAACCACAAATACAATGTATAAACACCAATTTAAAATTAATGTTTTAATAAAAAACTTACATTGGCCTTACCTTGTTTGTTACTTATGTTGAATTATATTGCCAGTAAGCCCTTATAAAAAAAGCTCTAACTTTATAATTAATTTACATGAAATTCTAAATTATTTTTGAATAATTATTTTTTATTAGTTTAAATTGGTAATTAATTCAGTGCTAAATAGTGTAGCACTGTGTAGTGTAGTATATACACAATTAAAAAAAAGTATAAATATTTAAGCAAAAAAGCCATTAGTGTAGTAATTTTATCATGTATTTAAACTATAAAAGATATTCTAAATGGATGTGCTTTCTGAGTCCGAGTCTTCCTGCCCAAGACTATCTTCATCTAATGATTCATAAACTAAGTCACTGTCACTTTCTATATAAACCGCTTCAGACTCTGACCAAGGCGCTGAAGTGCTTAGAACTTTATTTACACTCGAGTTATTAATTGGAGGAGTAGTTATGCTTGTACTATTTTGATAACTGGTGTTTTCAATATTTTCCAGTTTTAAATTTTGTGAAATGAAAACTAGTTTTCCAGCTCTTTCAGTCGTTAAACAATTTCTTTTTGCACTATGAATGTTAGAATAAGTGCTAAAACTTCTCTCACATGGTGCACTTGAAGCTGGTAGCTGAAGAATTCTAGATGCAACTTTTGATAATTCAGTAAAGGAACACAACCCTTTCCACCAATTTATAGGTTGAGTTATTCCAACTGCAGTCCAAATAAAGGGTTTTGAAAATATACCACCCTTTGATTGGTAATTAGCCAAATCATACATCATAATTTCTTTGTTTACTTCAGGCATACTTGCAGCAATGTTATGTATCACCTCACATGCATCAATCTATAAAAAGATTTTTCTTTTAATAATTTTATTTTTACTTTATTATTTTAAATAGTATTTTCAAACTTGAAAATAGTATTTTAAAAAATTCAAAATTTTTCAAAAATTTTACTTTTAATGCAAAAGGTATTTGATTTTAAGAATCATATATGAATTATGTGTAGGAAATACCTTTTGTTCTCCAGTCAAGACTCTGCCTTGAAATTTGGGATCTAGTATATTGGCTGCCAAGTGAATTTCTGTTAAACAGAATTCTTTTCTTTTTTTGAAAATCTTTTTGGCTTCTTCTTCTTCCTTTTTTGAGAATGGGCTAACTGTTAAATTTTTAAAAATGTGATCTTCCAAGAAGTGAAAAGTTTCCACGACAGTAGATAACATGGGAGCACTTGATTCAGTTTTCTTTATTGCATCAGCTATTGGTGACAGCAATTTGAAAAAACCTTCAACCCTGTCCCAAAAAATATCTGATAGAAGAATATTTTTTGTTGCTGAATTAAGCCCACTGTTTTCACAAATAGCCAATGTTTTTAATGGTTGCTTATTTTTCTGTATGCTATCTAAGCATGCTACAGTTGATCCCCACCTTTAAATAAAACACACAAAAATTCCAATAACTTAAATAAATTTTGATTAAAGTAATTTACTAAATGAAATCTATTTTTATGAATGTATAATAAATTTAGTTACATAATTCAACATTTTTTGTAATGTACTGTATATTTATGCTTTTATTGTATTACCTAGTCCGTACTGGTAGTTTCAATGTAATGCATGTTACTACACCAGCTGACTTTTTTTGTATATCTCTAAATGCTGCAACAGATAAATGAGAATTTTTTATCTCTTTAACAATATCAGTTGCTTGTGACATTAAAACACTTAAAGTTGCCAATTTTAAAAAGTCTGTAAACAGCAAATTTAAACCATGTGAAATGCATCCATAGCAATGAAGATGGGGATAACAATCTTTTAGACGAGTCCATGCATTTTTCATATTTGCAGCATTGTCAGTCACAATGCCCAAAACTTTGTTAGGATTTATTTCTTCTAAAACTTTCTTTATTTCATTTGCCATATATTCACCAGAATGGCTTGATGTTCCTACAAAACAGTTTAGGATATATTATATATACTGTACTAAATAAATATTATAAACGTATTTACTAATACTTTATTTCTGTTTATTGAAATGGTTTTCAGTGTCGTTTGTTATAAATTTAATATCAAAGTTAATTATAAAATAGTATGCATATTTTAAAAATCTACCAGTCTGTTAAGTAAATCCATTGTATACAATACAAGAATTATGGTTTTACCTGTAGGCAATGTCTTCCACAAAATGGGTGATGAAGAAGGCAATGTCATTACAAAGTTAATAATTGCTTCATTTCTGTAAAGAAAAAGCAGCATATAAACAAATATGATCTGTTTATTTAGTAAATAATATAGTTTCAATTGCATCAACTAATTATATAAAAAAATGTTTTTGTACCTTAAATTGCTCCATCCATCACACATCAATCCAAGATAATCTGCAGTTGCTACCATTTCTTTAACATTTGCTGAAATCTTTGAAAATTCATTATCTAATAATACGTTTGACACTTCATGCCTTGATGGAAGCTTATAAGCAGGACGTAACTTGTTCAAAAAGATTTTCCAATAGTTATTTTCTACTAAATGGAGTGGGGATCCACTGGCATATATTGCTCTTGCTAGGTGTGTATCAATCAATTCCTGCAAAAGATATGTCATACTGGTACATCAGTCAATCATGAAACAAATCTAAAATCTATTCATTGTGAATTTTTAATAAGTTAGTAGCCATATCAGTTCATTCTTAAAATAAATCTTAAAATTATAAAAATACATTACACACCTTTTCAGTTTTTGTCATGCTGTTAAACATGGAACTTGGTGTTTTACTTCTACAAATTGATTCAGAAAAGGATGTTCCAAAAGTATCTGATCGAGGATTTTTTGTTTTTGGTTCAGCATCTGCAGGAGAGTCTTGCTGTTTTTGACTATGACCTGATTTATTTGCATATAGACTTTTTACTTCACCAGGACATTTTCGACACTTTTCAATATGTTTAGTCATTCGAGTTCCATTTTTCGACATTATGTCAAAGCAAAAGGAACATTTAACTCTTTCCATTTTGCTAATTTGGTTCATAGGTATAAATAAATTGGCAACTACAGTTTTGTTTCTCCCCCCTGAATGGCCTGCTTTACTCATTTTTATAATTAAAATTTACTATGTTAAGCAAAATATCTAAAATTTAAATATAATTAAATAGAGAACATAAGTGATTATTAAAAAGAGCTTTAAAAACTGCATATAAATTTTTATTTGCAACTCAAAACTTTGTAAGTACAGTAAATTAATAATAATAAAAATAATAATAAAAAAGTATATATATATATATATATATATATATATATATATATATATATATATATATATATATATATATATATATATATATATATATATATCAAATATTAAATAAAATTAAGTAAATGTAGTTAAGTGAATAAAAACAATAAAGTCAATAAAAATTGAATAGAGGACGATAAAATTAACTAATAATTTTTTATACAGGACTGCTAAAACCCTGTTAACCTAAATATTAACAATAAAATTACCTTTAAACATACAAAAGAAAAAGAATTTTAGCCAAATTCAGCCTTAGTTTTCCTATATAAATTTTAAATTAAAATATGTTTAATAATATTGCCATCAAAGTTGAATTTAGTAGCTTAAATGATGAATTTTTAAATATTTCCCAAAAAAACCAAAAAAACGAACCCCTGCGTTTTTTTTCCAAAAAAACAACCAAAAAAACCAAAAAAACAAGAACCAAAAAAACGCGTCACATCTCTATGTGTGTGTATAAATATATATATATTTATACATACAACCCTCGAAATTAGGAAAAATGAGGTCGGCAATAATTTGCCGACCTCAATCTTTTAGAGGTCGGCATCAGGTCAGCAAAAAAAATTTGATACAAAGGTCTTATCATAAAACATAGAAACGAGGTCGGCAAATAATGCCGATCTCAAACACTTTCAGGTCGGCAGTTAGGTCGGCATTGCTGAATACCGACCCTAATTCCAAGGGTTGTGTCTATATATTTATATAACAATGTATATATATATTTATATAACAATGCTATTGTTTTATTATTTAAACCCATTTATTTAAAATTAGGTTTTAAAAGGAAAAATGTGTCACTATATTATATAAAAAAAATTTAAACAAGTTTAACTTTTAGTGTAAATAGTATATGATATTGTGATTGCAAAAGTTAAATTACAGTATATGATATTTTGATTTCAAAAGTTAAATTTATTTTTAAATTAAGATTCAAGAGATTGTTCACTTGGTTTCCTAAGTCGTCTTGTTGGAAAAATTTGCATTGTTGGTTATGCAGGTATTATTGTTTGTCTGCCATCAGGTACGTGCATGAATGGCTTCCAAAAGTTTATTTTTTTATCAGTCATGTAGGTTGATACATGCATGGCTTCCAAAGGTTTGTTTTTTTATCAGTCACTCAGATTGATACATGCATGGCTTCCAAAAGTTTATTTTTTTATCAGTCATGCAGGTTGATACATGCATGGCTTCCAAAAGTTTGTTTTTTATCAGTCATGCAGGTTGATACATGCATGGCTTCCAAAAGTTTATTTTTTTATCAGTCATGCAGGTTGATACATGCATGGCAAAAGTTTATTTTTTACAAAACAAGTATAGTGTGCAAACCACAACAATGTTAAAGTATATTTCTTATACTTTGCTAGATAATTTTTATCAAGTTTGTCAAAATGAAGTGTTTACCATTTTTACTTTTATTTAAATTTAGAAATTTTATACAAGAGTGTATTACCTTTCATTTCAATATGGGTTTGTGAAAGTCCATTGTGGAGAAGAATATGTTCAAAATTATTTATTAATATACCTGATCCTGCTCTTGATGCAGTTATAGAACCACTTATTAAGAATTGTCATAAGTAATAAATTTTTGTTCATTATTATTATTATTATTATTATTATTATTATTATTGTTATTATTATTATTATTATTATTATTATTATTATTATTATTATTATTATTATTATTATTATTATTATTTATAATTATATTTATTATATATTATATTCAGATTGTTTGTTTTTTCCCCCACTGCATTGTAACTGTATTTTAAATAATTGTAAATAGACTAAATGCAGGTAAATAATAACTAAACTGTAACTAGCTTATATTTTTACTTTGAAGAAAGTAAATTTTTTACTGGAAGTGTGAAAGTTGAAATGCAAAGGCAATTTAGGAATAAATTTCAAAAAATACAAGTTGCCAATGCAAGTTACCATTATTCTAATCAGAGATAAGTTTGAATCTAATGGAATTATTCATAATATTTACAAAAAACATTCAAGAATACTCAAACTTTCAGAGAAGTCCAAGAAAGTACCAAAATACCATACTAAATTATAGGTTATTATAATTACTTGGAAGAATACAAATTTTTAATAATATTTAAAGTTTCATACAAGTCAATAACTATCTTGATTTTATTAAATTAAGGAAAAATATTAAATATAACCTGAAAGACAACAAAACAATAGAAAGAGTTCTAATGTCAACCACAAAAAATATCTATTCAAACACCATATAGAATCAGACATTTAAATATTGCTTACAACCTTATTGCAAGTGTTTTAGTTGTTCATTTAAGTATACTTGTGAGTAGTAATTTACCAGGGTCCCAGTCTCAGCTAAATATATTTTTACAAACCTAACCCAGTCAAATATTAACCTCTTAACAACCAGTCAAATATTAACCTCTTAACAACCAGTCAAATATTAACCTCTTAACAACCAGTCAAATATTAACCTCTTCCAAGTTGTAAGTGAATTAGTGTTTGCTTGCAGCATGATGGAAGTTTTAGTTTTATTGCAAAAGTTTTTTTTGTGACATATTATAGGTCGCTACTTAGACATTTCTAGCATTTGATTTTGAAGCAATTATTACTTTATACATTATTTCCTTATTATTTTGTTTTTCTTTATTGTTTTTGTAATAAGTTGAATATTATGTTGTAATAAGTTAGTATTTTGTTTCACAGCATATTTTTGTAAAGTATTTAATTTTTTAAACTTTTTAGTTCAGATATTCTTTCTGCATTATTTGGAAATTCAATATTATCAAAGCCTGTTCTAAAGTTTCTACTGACACACAAATATTTGTTTGTACGGACATATGAAAATGTTAGTCAAAATGTTTTAAAGTTTCATATTCTATGTTGTATTCAACAGCCTTTTTAAAATAGTGAGTTTTGTATCCTAGGATACAACATTGCTTATTTTAATAAAGTATCTTGCTGGTAATGAAGCAATCGAGTCTATTTTTAAAGAGGTATTTTCTGCAATTAATAATAAATTTCTTTTTTAGTAGTTCTTTTTTTAAATATAATACTTAATCTCTAAACCATTAAAATATTTTAAAAAAGAACATTTTTACCACTCTAATTTGTTATAAAGTGACTTATGCATATTTCTGACATTTTTCTTTAAGTTAAGATTACGTTTAAACTTTAGAATTTTTATATATATATTATATATATTTACATATTTTTGTAGAAATCAATAAACTGAATAAAAACAACAATTTTTTAAAAAAAAAAAAAGTTCTTTATTTTGTTTACCAAATTTATTATAAAACACTAATAAAAAATTCAAAATAGCTTTCAGTTTATGTTAATTTGGCTCTTTTATGTATGTATACAAATAATAAATGGTGTGAAAGTAAAACCTTTTTTTTAATAATAAACAAATAAACATATAAACATGCATTTAATTATCTGATTTTTTAAAATATAAAACAATTTAATTTCGGATTTTTATATCGCAGACAATTGCATAGCTTAGCTGGCCTTGTTTTAAAGTGTTACGCATAGAACGATTTATGTATGCCTTAAGCGATTTTACATAAGCAGTAAGTAATTTCGGTGAAGCGACTTTTTATCATTTTTTAACTTTTAAATTATTCTATAAGCAGTAAGATAAAAGAAGTAATTAATTAAAAATCACGTTAACTTTTAAATGACGTTTGTAAAAATATTTGTTACAAAAGTTTGAATGACAATTATGGTTAATATATAAGCGCTATTTAAATATTTACTAATGAAAAAAACTCAAATAAAATTAAAAGTTTATTCTTTTTTTGTTTTTATTTTATTGTAATGATTGATTTTTTAAGCTTGAAGCAAAGATCATAAAAACATAATTCTGATGAAAAATATATGATTTCATTTAAAACTAATTTAATAAAAATATAGAATTTAATTTTGATTTAAAAAATATATTTAAATTTATTAAAATTAAAGTTAATGCTTGTGTTTAACTGTCAAATTTATTTAAAAATATTACTAAATATTATTCAATATTGAAATTTTATTTGTCTTAAAAAATAATGAGCTCATTTTATTGGAATTGTTTTTTCGGTTTTCCTTAATAAACCTTAAATCCTTAATAAAACCTTAATAAACGGCTGCATCAAAAATTTGCACAAAACGTAAGTTAAACTTTTTTTTATAACTCAAGTTAAATCGTGGCAATTATTTTTTAATAAACGATTACAGTAGGGTGCAAAAGTAACTGGACAAGCGCATAACTTGAGATAACTTTTAAATGAAAAGTCCAATATCTTTCAAATTTTCACTGGAATCTCAAAAAATTGATAACAATTCTAAAAACAAATGAATTTTTACTAAATCCAAGCAACATAATCTTAAAAGTTCATATTGAAATATGCACGTGCAAAAGTGTCTGGGCAGAAAAAAATACTTAAAGTAGTTTTTTTTTTTTTAAACATTTTTTAAATTAAAAATGTTGTAATTGGAAGTAGATTTCTTTAATACTTTGTCGGGAAACCCTTGATATTGATTACTGCTTGACAGCGACAAGGCATTGAGTCCACCAGCTTCACAATAATATTATTGTTGATTTTTTCCCATGCTTGTTTCAGGTTTTTAAATAAATCATGTTTATTTGTTTGTTTACGACCTGAAATTTGTTGATCAAGGTGTTCCTTTAGATGTTCAATAGGATTAAGGTCAGGACTTTGCGATGGTAATTCCATTAATCAAATTTTTTTGATCTTGAAAAAGTCTTTCACAAGTGTTGAAGTGTGCTTTAGGTCATTGTCCTGCTGAAATATCCTTTCTCAAGGTATTTTGTCTTTAGCATGTGGTAGCATAACATCCTTAATAATATCTTTGTACATATTTTTGTCCATTATGCCATCAATCAAATGGTTAGAACCAATCTCTATTGAAGCAACCTCAGACCATAACGTTTCCACCCCCGTGCAACTGTTGGTAGCTGGTATTTAGGATCATTTCTATGGCCTTTTGGTCAATGAACATATCTAATACCATCAGATCCAAATAACATAAACTTAGATTTATCACTAAAAAGTACTTTCGACCATTGTTCTCTTAACCAATTCAAATGTTCCTTAGCAAATCTCAAGCATACTTTTCGATTCTTCATGGAAATAAAAGGTTTCTTTGCTGGACATCTTTCAAATAAATTTGCAGACCTTAAACGACTGTTGGTTGTGTCAACACTTCATTTTACATTGTAAAATTCTTTCATTTCAGCATTTAACCAGACATCATTTTTGCGTAGATCATTTTTTGCGACACGAACTAAAATTTTATCTTGTCTTTCAGATGTAATTCGAGGCCTTCCTGACTTTATAGAGATTCTATTGTTATTTCTTTCCTTATATCTTTTATATATATCTGCTACTGTTGATTTTCCTATATCAAACTGATTCACTAAGTCTCTTGTAGTTCTGCCTTGTTCAATTGTGCGCAACACCGCTTCTTTGACAGCTAAACTTGTATATTTTTGCTTTGTCATTTTAAAAATTTATTCAAAACAATCTTCTTTTTAATTAAAAATACTTTATGCTTTGTTTACCATTTTTAAACATTAAATAAAAGCCAACAAAAGTATTGCAATTTTATTATTTTAGTTCTACCCGGATACTTTTACACGCGCATATTTCAATAAAATGAACTTTTAAGATCATATTGCTTAGATTTAGTAAAAAGTCATTTGTTTTTAGAATTGTTATCAATTTTTTGACATTCCAGTGAAAATTTGAAAGAAATTGGACTTTTCATTCAAAAGTTATCTCAAGTTATGCGCTTGTCCGGTTACTTTTGCACCCTACTGTATAATGCGATATAATTTTAATAATAAACTAATAAATTTTTAATAAATAAAGTAAATAAATTTATGTAATTTTTTTATTTGTTACTCATTAAAATAACATTTAACTTGTTTTGCAGTAATTAATATTATTGCAGTAATTTAAAAAAGTTAATGTCTTTTTATTTAAAGCAAGGCCTGCCTTTGCATTCAAAAACAAATCAATTTAACTTGAAATTATATCTAATTAATCAAAATAAACTGTTTTTTAACAAATAAATTATTTTTGTGGTTTAATGATGGACAAAAAAAAATTCAACAAACATAAGCTCTTCAGCCATAGCTAAAATAATTAAAATAGTTAAAATAAAACTTTTACTAATTGTACCTATTATGATAAAAAAAATTTTTAATTTTGTTTGAAAGGTTAATTAGAATATATGAGTAAAAAATATTTTTTTGTACCTCCTTTTTAAAATATTTTTTTGTACCTACCTTTTTAAGCAACCTCGAGTGGCTCGAGGTTGCTTAAAAAATTAATGCTTAATTTCTCAAGCTCACTTAAAAATTTTATCCTTAACCACTCGAAGTTGCTTAAAAAATTTATTCTTTGCCGCTCAAGGTCGCTTAAAAAATAATCCTTAACCACTCAAGGTTGCTTACATAGTTTATTAAAATTGTATTTTAAATGCATGTTACTTTTAAAATGATAATAGATATATTTTCTTTTAGATTATGAAAAACTATTATCTTCCTAATATTAAAGAAAAAAAATTATTTTAATATTAAATTTAATTTCAATGTTAAAATTAGAGTTTTAAGTACGCATCTGAGCCTATCTGACAATATATCTGAATTAAATAAAATATTTTAAGCATTAATTAGTTACTTTTTTTCAAATGTTTATCAAATTATTTCAAAATGTTGATATATGAAATTTAGGTAAACAAATCTTATCAAATTTATATTTTCCAATATTAATTTTTTGAATTTATGATTTTTAATTTTATGGTTAATCTCATTCTTTTATTTGTTTAAAGTTTTTTCATTTATTGAAACTTTATTTAAACTTATATATTTATTTTTTATTGAAACAGGTTTTAATAAAAACAATTGATATATGGGGGAAGAGAAGTTCCATAAAACACTCATCTTATGCACAGCATTTATACCTGAGTAAATGTATTCTTATATCATTAGGGTGCTTAAATGAAAAGCAACGGAATCTTTGGAGATCTGGTAAGCCAATTTTAGATTATATTGTATATGAATTTCATTTACTTATACAATTTTTGTAATATTTAGCTTTCACAATCTCTGTAATCCTTAGCTCTTACAATCTTTAATCTCTAATTCCAAGCTCAATTTTTGTGTGTAATATTCTGCTGATGGTTTTCCTATTATTGTGCTGCTGCAAATTCCAATCATAATCATTACTTTCATCTATCTATCTATCAGCAAAACAATTCTCCAGAAAACAGAAGTCTGTTTACTACTGCTAGAAATCATTGAAAAAGGTTTTGTCTAATGCCTAAGCCCAATATTCTCAGGTCACGAAATCTCGTATTTTATCTCAAAAATTAGGCTCCCGTGACTTCTGGAGAATCTTTAACAGCATCTATAACAAGGGTAAATCTGTTATTCCACCTCTCTTGTATGGTTCAGATTTTGTCACCTCACCTAAAGACAAAGCTAAATTGTTTGCTAAGAACTTTTGATCAATATCATCTCTTCATTCCACTAGTCGCGTTTTATCTGATGTAGCTGGCAAACAGGTTAATCCATTGCCTGACCTTCGTTTCACTCCAGCTTCTTTATCTAAAGTGTTTTCCTGCTTAGATTCTTCTACAGCTTGTGGTCCGGACAACATACCTGATATAGTTTTGCAGAAGTGTTCTCTGGAGCTGTTCTATACTTTCAAAATTATTTATCAAGTTCTTATGAGTTCTTATCTTGTTTTCCAGCCTGCTGGATTGTGGCATCTGTTATCTGTTAAAATTCTAGAGAGCGATCTGACTCGTCTAACTACCATACCATTAGCCTTTTTACTATCATAAGCAAGGTTTTTGAGTACAGGTCTCGTTTTGAATATAAGATATCTAGCACATTAGGTTTTAAATAAAAAATGGCTTAGCACATTAGCCCATCGTGATTTTGATGTCATAAAGTTATCTTTATTCCTTTTTTTTTTATTTAAGGTCATTAACTTTTTAATAAAATAAATTACCAAAAAACAAGTTTATTTTACTAATTAAAAAAAACCAATCTAGAAGTGTTATTTTGTAAATGTACATATTGTGGAATGTCTATTTTGTTCCAATTTTTTTTTTTAATTAATTAAATTTGATAGTGTAAAGGTGGGTCAAACCTCACACCATGTCATTCCGCACACTGATGGAAATTATCAAATAAAAACTAAACAGATATGGCTATGAAAAAAATACAAGTAGATTCATATACAGAACTATCTCCTCTATTCAAATTGATAAAATTATATACCGATTCAACTCTATTTTACAACTTATAACGGGGAGTCAAAATTTTTTATATATTTCGATGTATCGAAATCTATTGATGCAAACAAAATGCCTCTTAAACTGAAACTGATATAAAAATAGTTTTACACTATCTTGTTGGAAGTTTAATATTAATTCTGATAGTATAAATTTTATGCAGCTAGACCAAAAAGTTAAATAAAAAATCAAAAAAAGTTAAAAAAAACTCTTTTTTTTGATAAAACTATACACTCGATTAATTACTTAGTTTAGTTATTCACAAGTGAATAAGCCGTTATCTTTATCTAATTAATTTAGGGTTCAATCCGGTTTAATTAAAAATGAACTATGTAATTTGTTAACATAATCATCTCTTACTCATTATAAACCAATTATTATATTATTTCTCAATAAAATCAATACTCCCTCAATTCAGATAAAACTCAATTTTATTCGGCCAATCGTTATCGTAATAATTTAGATCTTCCTATATTTATGAATGGTAATGTACTAGATGAGTCATCTACCATTCATCTTCTAGGATTAACTCTTACTTCTGATCTTTCTTTTAAACTGTATATCAAATCTCTTTATCGAGCTCGACACTTTCTTACTCCAGATTCTATTCTCTATCTCTATAAATCTCAAATCCGTCCCTGTATGGAATACTGTTGCCACATCTGGGGCGGATCTTCTAATGATGCTCTTTCTCTTTTAGACAAGGTGCAAAAACGAATTGTAAACATAGTTGGACCTGCTCTGGCAGCCAATCTCCAACCTTTGTCACATCGTCGTAATGTTGCTTCTCTTTCTCTTTTCTACAAATACTATAATGGGCACTGCTCTAAAGAGCTAGCGTCCCTTGTGCCATCTACTAAAATTCATTCTCGTGTTACTCGCCATTCAATTAAGTCTCATCCTTTTTCTGTGACTTTTCCTAAGTGCTTCAAAAACTCTTATTCTTCTAGTTTTTTTCCTCGAACATCAGTTCTTTGGAATTCGCTTCCTTCATCTTGCTTTCCTGATTCATATAATTTGCAATCTTTTAAGTCATCAGTCAATCGTTATCTTGCTCTACAGATTTAGTCTTTTCTCTTCCAGTAACTTCCAACTCTTATAGTGGTTGCTTGCAGCCTTGTTGGAAGTGAAGATGTTAAAAAAAAAAAAAAAAAAAAAAAATTCACTCACTTTAACATGTCAACTAAAAAAATAAAAGCATACAAAGAAGACAATATACTAGCCGCATTAACTGATATCAAAGAAAAGAAAATATCACTGAGAAAATCTGCATTCAAACATGGCATTCCAGTCTCAACACTCAAAGATCAAAAATAACAACAACAAGGCTTCCATGGCTCAGGTACAACAATGGTACTCTCAAATGAAACAGATTGATGGATCATGGGTTCCAATTACTTTGAATATAACTGGGCTTATGGTTTAACCCCAGTCACCAAGTGACCTGGGTTAAACCATAACCTCAGTCACTTAGTGATTGAGGTTATGGTTTCAATATCAACAGACTGATCAATTGCACTGATTTAAAAATGGTAAGCATGGTAAAGACTGGTTTTATGCCTTTATGAAGAGATGGTCAAAAAAATTTCAACAAGAAAAGCGGATAACTTACCATCTAAAAGAGCTGCTTCTTGTACGCCAGAAACAATTAATTCTTATTTTGAATGCATCACCAAGCAATATCAACAGACTGATGTAACTGGGTCGCATATTTGGAATTGTGATAAAACAGGTTTTTTGGGGGATCAAAGCAAAGCAACCGTAGTGTATCAAAAAGGGACAAGACATGCATTTATACTTACTGGCAACAATAAAAAAATGCATTATACTATAAACAATAGCTGCAATGTTAATGGGCATTTTGCACCATCATTTATGATATACAAAGCCAAAAAATTCATTGTTTTCTCAAGTGTGCGGTTTTATCAGAATGTCGCCTAAAATTGCACAATTTTTTTTTCTTTACCTTTAATATTTTTGATAATTTTATTTATTTATTTTTGATATATATTTTTATTGTCTTATATAGTTTTTTATTACCTATCTAAAAAAAAAAATTAAAAAAATAAATAAAAAATAAAAAAGTTATTTAATTTTTTTTGATAAGTGTGCAGTTTGACCCAGTTTTACTCTATTACATTTTTTATTATCATTTAGCATAAATTAATATCTTTCTTTCTTGACATTTGTATAAATGAATTAAAATAAGTTAATTTTTTTCATTATTTCTTAAAATTGCGACTTTCTTTATATTTAGTTTCATTAAATTACTTTCATTATATTTTAAATCCGAGGCAAAAAAGAACTAATTTTTTTAAATTTACCTTTATTAATCAAAATTCTAAATCATAAGGAAATTTCTGTTTTTACTTTCATATCACACAACTTGTTAATGATATAAAGCTGGTGTAACTTTTATAAAATATTATTTTTTTCAACTATTATTTTTGTCAAAATAAATTTTACAAATATAAACAAACACATTGCAAGAGCTAATTGCTTCATGCGTAAATTCAATTGCTTCATGCGTAAATTCAATTGCTTCATACGTAAATTCAATTGCTTCATGCGTAAATTCAATTGCTTCATGCGTAAATTCAATTGCTTCATACGTAAATTCAATTGCTTCATGCGTAAATTCAATTGCTTCATGTGTAAATTTAATTGCTTCATGCGTAAATTCATTTGCTTCATGCGTAAATTCAATTGCTTCATGCGTAAATTCAGTTGCTTCATGCGTAAATTCAATTGCTTCATGCGTAAATTCATTTGCTTCATGCGTAAATTCAATTGCTTTATGTGTAAATTCAATTGCTTCATGCGTAAATTCAATTGCTTCATGCGTAAATTCATTTGCTTCATGCGTAAATTCAATTGCTTCATGCGTAAATTCAAGCAAAAAAATAGAGTTGCATCCTTAAAAGAAGTTTTTTTTTAATTATAAAAAAATAAACTTTTTATAAGATGTTGTTTAAAGTTTGTAATAATTAATGTTTTTTCATTTTTTTGATAAAATCAGTCATTATAACAATAGAAACAAACAAACAAAATTTTAAATATCATAAGTGGCGCTAATATAAAATAAATTTAACATGTACTACTTTTTAGCTAATAATTTTTTGCTTTGTTTCTTATTTTATTTTTTAAATTGGGTAATTGTTTTTGTTTTTGTTTGTTATGAGAATTTGTCTTCTTTATGATATATATTATAATATTAATATATTATATTAGTAAGAGTAATAATTTGCCAGTGGTTTTTAGAAATGGTTCTAAAAATGATGGATGGAGTACCTGCTCACCTTGAAAGTCCTGATTCAAAGGTGTTTTTCTAATTTTATATTTTTGAATTTGCATTAAAAATATAGTATTCATAATTATGTATATTATTTTTATACAGTATTTATTAATGCTATTCAATGAATTTTGTAAAATTTATGTTTATTTATGCCAACTTTTATCAAAAATTATTTTAAAATGAAAACTTTTATCAAATTAATAAAATGAAAATTTTTTCAAGAAGTAAATATGTAAAATAAAATTTTTTATCATTTTTATTTTCCACTTTTTCTCACTTGTTAAGCTCTGGTTGTAAAACACGTCTTTTTAATGGTTTAACTTTATTTTATGACAACTTTATAATATTTGTAAGTTTGATTTGAAATAATCTCAATAAATAATAATCTTTTTATAAATAAAGAGGTAAAATTGTAAATAAAGAGGTAAAATGATGTAAAAATATAATGTAAGATTAGTTTTTCATGAATAAAGATACTTAAGTTTTTCTATATGTAAGTATATTTGAAATCCCTGAGATTTTTAAAAACATTTTAACTAATTTAGTTAAATAATTTAACAACTTATTTCCTATTGTCTGGCAACAGGGTGTTAACTAGAAATAAATTTGGTACAGCGTTTTGACGATATTGGGAATTTGTCAAAAAATTTCCCAATTATCTCCCCCCCCCCTGTCCTCCCCTGAGATTAAAATGTGTACCACTTTAGCGCTGTATACATTGATTAGACAGCGCCAAAAATAAAACAAAATACCGCTATGTGTCATTTATTAAGGATGAATATGAAATATATTTGATTTACTTTTAATCTTAATATATCGTTGCCGCTTTAATGTTAAGAGTATTCTTTTGAATATATATATTTTTTTTACTGGTGGGCATTAAAGGACGATTTTTAAAGTAATATAGATTTATGTTCAATGAAAATTTCCGCTAATGATCTTCTACTTTTCAAATTCTGTTTGACATCCTTTATCGACAAACCCTTACACCAACATGTAATAAATTGTGTCATCAAAAGAAATGTTAAAAATAGAAAAATAAAAAAGGTTTTGAAAATAGTAAACACAAGCTTGTAAATTTCATATTTCACATTTATTGCGATTTTAATTTTATAATTAATATTAACTTTCTTTATACATAAATTGCATAGCAAAATAGTTACAATTGCAAAGTCTCTGCAAAAACAACAACAAATGTTTAATTTAATTACAAAAGAATTATAAAAGATCACAAGCGATTGCACGTTTTTGTAGCAACGAAGAATACCAATAATTATTTTTTAATGCATAGTCATAAAATGTTATTATGACTATGGTTTATTAAAACAGTAAAATTTGCTTTTATGTTTTAAATTCAAGCAAGCAGTGAATCTAGTTTTCTTGTTTTTTAAATTTCTAGTACCAGTTTGTTGTAATAATAAAAAAAAAACATTCTTGTTATTTAAGGTATTTAATTTACGTTTTAATATACGTATTTAAATTATGTTTTAAATATAAGCAACCAGTAAAGTAAAGAATTCTATTTTCCTCATTGAATAAATTTCTAGAACCAGTTTGTTATAATCAAAAAACATTTAACTTTTTTAACTTTTCAGCCAAAAAGAGCGAAACTTTTAAAGAAATAGCATTTGTGGGTACCCGCAAATTCTATTTTTTTAAATTATTGTTTAAAATTATAAACTTGTTTGGTTTAATGTCGCCGGTGTTAAACCAAACAAATTTGTATTTTTTTAAATTGTACTTTAGTTTTTGCTAACTTTTTAAAATAATATTTGCTGTTGTTGGAACACATAGCAAAAAATTATTTGCAAATTTTGAGAAATTAATTTTTTTCCGAGCGATTTTAGGGATTTTTGGAAAATACCAATTCTCAAAAAAGTTTTTTTCCATGAGGCATTTTTGCAGTTATGCAAGCACGTAGTTATACCAATAGCGGCAATTTTGTTTCAAGTTTTAAACAAATTATAATTTTTTATGTTATTTGTCTATTAGTTTTTAACAGCAATTAATTTTCAATAACTTTTAGAATTATTATTAAACTTTAATTTGGCAAAATTTATTTAGAGAATGGGATTTTTTCACTTTTGAATTAGGAATTTTAATTTTATGAGCATTTGGAAATACCGCGTTTACCCCACAGGGCTAGTTTACACCCTGGGTAAATGGCGTTCAAAGCACTCTCCTATTGTATTGTAAATGGCGTTCAAAGCACTCTCCTATTATCATTAACTTAGAATCTCTAGATTCCACTAGTTACATTCTACCTGATAAAGCAGACAAACAGGTAAATCTATTTCCTGATATTCATATCACTCCAGCTTCTGCATCTAAAGTGGTTTCCTGCTTAGACTTTTCTATAGCTTGTGGTCCGGACAACATACCTGTTATATAGTCTTGCAAGTCTTGTTTTCCAGGTAATGTACTTGATGAGTCATCTACCCTTCATCTTCTAGGATTAACTCTTACTTTCGATCTTTCTTGGAAACCATTTATCAAGTCGATTGCAAAATTTGAGTCTGTTAAGGTTGTATCTCTTTATTGTGCTTGTCACTTTTTTACTCAGGATTCAATTCTCTATCTCTATAAATCTAAAATCTGTCCTTACATGGAATACTGTTCCCATATCTGGGGTGGATCTTTGAATGATGCCTTTTCTCTTTACTATAATGGGCACTGCTCTAAAGAGCTAGCGTCTCTAGTGCCATCTACTAAAATTCATTCTCATGTTACTCATCATTCAATTAAGTCTCATCCTTTTACTGTGACTGTTCCTAAGTAATCCAAAAATTCTTATTCATTTAGTTATTTTTTCTCAAACATCTGTCTTTTTGTTGTGTGAGTCAGTTTAAAAAAGATTATTACTGAACTAATTTTCACTGCAAACTTGCCATTAGTTTAACTCAAAGATCGATACTCCTCTGGACCTTGTTAATACTCATTACTTAGCCAGTTTGTTATTGGGAAAAAACAAACTGACTCAATCAAAAAACTTTTTTATTTTGGTTTTATATGAATACAATTGCATAATCTGGAAACAATGCCATGGTCAGTTTCACTTTTTTACTTTCAAAGTGCTCTGTTATATGAGCTTCAATCAATTTCACTTTTTTATTTACAAGGTGCTCTGTTATATGAGCTTTAGTAAGTTTCAATTTTTTTATTTTTGAGGTGCTCTGTTATATGAGCTTTCACTTTTATTACCTTAATAACCCCTGATGACAAAAATTTCGCACAAAATAAACACAAGCAGTAATAGTACAACAAAAGTTAAATGAGAAAAAAATTAGTATAAAATATTAAGCAATATATTAGTTTTTTATTTTGGGGACTGAAATAATACTTTCTCGCCATTACAACATACTGTGTCAACTTTTTTGTATACATATTTGCACATGTTTTGTACAAGATTTTTATCAACTTTTCTTGAACATGGATTATTTTTTGCTGTTGATTTTCATTTTCAGCTTCATTTAAGGATTGAACAAAAATCTATTGGTTGTAATTCTGAGACACATGCCGGATTATCAATTTTTGTATTTTTTATTTTTATTTTAACAAATATTTTTCTCATCAAGGTAATTGTTCACGCTTATAGCATAATGTGAAGAGGCCAAGTCAGGCCAGATAACACAATATTACCATCACTGTGATGTTTGTTGATAAAAGGAATCAATCATTCGATGACGCAATCATTTTTGTACACTCTTTGGTTAATTGCCAGTCTTGCAGGAACATGGTTTTGAGATTCCACAAGGGGATATGGTAATCTACACAAAAAATTTTTTTCAAATTTGCTTTTGCGCTTATATTTTACATTTTTTGCTTCATCTGAGTAAAATCCAGCATTAAAATTTTTATTTGTATGTTTAAATGACTCATCGTCAAAGACAATTCACGGTTTCTGAATTTGCGACAAATTCTTCGACACTTCAGTTGCAACTGCTTTAAATGTTTATCAGTGCAATCAGGGATTTGTTTTTTCTTAAAATAACAAATGTTTTGTTTTTTAATGATTTTACAATGTAGGAATGATCACACTTAAATTTTATTTTGCAATTTTATTTGCAATTTTATTTGCAATTTTTCTTGTTAAAGTTCCAGACTGGTTTTTCAAACAACCTTTCAGGCGATTGATGTTCCTAGCAGTCATAATTTTTGGTTTTCTGTCTGATCCAGGCTTAAGAGACTTTGGCTCATTGTTCTTCCACTTTGCCATATGATGTTTGATGGTTCTTTTGGGGTGATTAGAGGCAACAAAATACTCTACGATGCTCTTCGTTTTAGCATTAAACGAAACTTTCAGTAAAAGATAATTAACACTTTAAAGTAAACAAAGCTTTCAGTAAAAGATAACTAACACTTTATAAACAAAACAACTAAAAAAGACTGGATAACTAAAAATTCAATAAGTTTTAGCTTCTCAAAGATTGTGCCAAATTTTTGTCACCAGGGGTTAATAAAAAGTAATTTAAAAAATGTTAAAGAACTTTTTCAAAGATTTTTTCAAAAATGTTTTCCTTTATAATAAAAAAATTAGGATGGGAAGGGCAGTTGTTCATTAGGGCTATGACTTTTTGACTTTTAAAAAAAAATTAGTTTCATAAATCAATGAACTTTTATTAGAAAACATGTTCATTATCTCTTGGTTGTAAAAAAAGGTCACCCCACAATTCAAATTACGTTTTGTCATTTATTTAATCTTATTACTGCTACTACTAATACGTGTGGCTTTCCTGCAAATCATTTAAAACTTGTATAGTTTAAAAGTGTTTAGAACTTTAGAACATTTTGGAAAATAATAGAATATTTTAGAAGGCTTTAGAACATTCTAGAACAATTTAAAACATTCTGGAACAATTTAGAACATTCTAGAACAATTTAAAATATTTTGGAACATTCTATAACAATTTAGAACATTCTGGAATATTCTAGAACATTTTAGACTATATAGTTGCTCATCTAATTTTATAGTTATTACAGAAGCAACACATGGCATTGTACAAGCCTAGCGATAGTAGCATTCAGAAGAACAAGGATGTCTGGACCAATAATCTGGTAAAGTTTGAAGAAGGAAAGTTTGAATATTCACTGGAAGAAAAGTGCAGAATTCATACAACTCATTATCTTACTATCCTGGTTTTAGTGATTCTGACTCTGAGGCTGACGACAGTGAATATGAAAACAATGAAGAAGAAGATGAGACAACTCCTAAACCAAGCAGAAAATATCATAAAAGCAAAATTGCAGTCAACTTGGTGACCTCCACAAGAGTATCAACAAACAAAGTTGCTAACATATGCAAGCAATTAGCTTGTGAAGACATTGACATTCCAACTCCATGTCAATTAGCTATTTACAAGTCAACAATCCATTGTTAACACTGGAAAAAAGAATGGTGTTTTTGTAATACTGGGACAGAGAAATGCATCAACAAATCTCAGTTTATCAGTTGTCAACACCATGTATTAGATAGAATCCCCTGTTTGGTGATGGATGAAGAACTTGGAAGTAAAACACAATCGCCAAACATCGAATATACATTTGTATCTCAACTGTTGAAGGAGTACAAACAACTGAAAACACAGTTTGATAACAGAACAGAAGTAATTCTCAAAACATTAGGCTGGAGAGATGATATGAAATTTCTGTTTCATCTCACTCGAGTGTTCTGATTTTTTGAGGAAAAGGGACATTTTCCATTAATCAGGTTTCAGAAAATACCCAACAGCAATGCGAGGTAGAACTCCAGAGCTATAATAGCGATCCTGGTCTTCATTTTAATTCCTTTAACAAGGACAGTTCTGCAGAGAGTTCTCGGTTTATATCGTATGGCTGGGCAGACCATTGGTTTACAGACCAACTGTACAACGAAAACAACTTTAATAACTTTTCAAAAAAGTTTACCCCTCCATTGAAAAGTTGATTTTGACATAAGTACTACTATGTATTCAAATGTATTTAGAATGCCATAGTCATGTAATACAATAAATTTTCTATCCAACAATGACTCAGACCGTTGACCTTGCCTTTGCTTGTTGCACAGAAGGAATTGAAGGTGCAATTTGTCTTTATTTTTGCACAATCAATAAATTTCTTCCATTACTTTGATGGAGGATAAAATTTGCTCAACTATACGTGAATAAAAATTGCTAAAGTTTTTATTCACGTAAAGCTAACTAATTATAACCAATTATAACCAAGTATAAGCAATTACTCATTTTTATTCACCTGGCCTAATGTCTTTAATTCTATGAGCTTCTTTGAGTTAATTAATTAGTACTTTTCAGTCTGTTTAATGTTTTTTTTTTCATCCCAATAGTTAGGTGTAAAATTGTATAAGTTAATGGCGCTCTCCTAAACATGATATCAATTTTTAAAAATCTATTTTTCTGAAAGAAAATTTTTCAGCCTTTTTGTATGGATTCAGTATTTCAGCTCTTTGAAAAATCACTGGAAGCAAGAAAGACATCAATATTACAGATACCCAGAAGTAATCAATGCGCAGAGCGCGCAAACAAAGTAATTTATTCATCGTGCAAAAAAAAAAAAGACAAATTGCACCTTCGATTCCTTCTGTGCAACAAGCAAAGGCAAGGTCAACGGTCTGAGTCATTGTTGGATAGAAAATTTATTGTATTACATGACTATGGCATTCTAAATACATTTGAATACATAGTAGTACTTATGTTAAAATCGACTTTTCAACGGTGGGTTGAACTTTTTTGAAAAGATATGTAAATAATAGTTCATTTTGTGCTTTTTAGGTAAAACTTCATCAAACTACAGTACAAGAGCATGGGGTTGATAAAAAGTCATAACCCTATTGTTCATCTTTGTTGGCCCTGGAAAATGTTTTAATATGCAACATCCTAACATTATTAGGACTATACAACTGCCGAAAATTTCAATTCTCTTGCCATTTCCTTATATGTGTATATATATATACATACATACATACATACATAAATACATACATACGTACATACATACATACATACATACATACATGCATACATACATACATACATACATACATACATACATACATACATACATACATACATACATACATACATACATACATACATACATACATACATACATACATACATGCATACATACCAGATATATATGTACAAATTATTGAAGAATCATTTAACAACATTTTCATTTAAATAATAAATTTTTTATAACAGTTTAATGAATGCTTTTGAGTTTTTTTTGTAAGTGCACATTCCAAAATGCTCCTTCAATAAAGAGCTGTTTTGCAAGTATTCTTTTGAAATGATTTGTTTTGCAAGTTTCTTTTCATAAAGCGTTATTACGAAATTGTTATTATTTTTTTCTTTGTATAATGCATTATGGAATGTAAAATTTTTATAAGTTTTGATTTTTGGCAAACAATCCTAGTTTATAAAGCTTTGATGAAATACAAATTGTTGACAATTTTTTGATATTGAAATTTTTGACAAAGAAACAAATTAATAGAAATGTGATAAAACTGTAGTATTTATCACATTTCTTTTTGTAATATTATTTTTTTTAATTTCTAAATAATTTTTTAATTAGCTACACCAACTTGGAATGATTGTTGCTGAGTCATTGACACATGTTTTTGATCGTGAGAAGCATCTAAAATTTGATGTAAGTAGTTATTTTTACTTTTCTAAAAAATTTAATGTTATAATAATTGAATAACTCATTGCATGGGAATTATAGGGTTCTATTTGTTTTTTTATGTTGTGAGAACTTTCAATATTTAATTATTAAAATGTTTTACTGCTGTTATTCTTTATAATTACAAATTATAAGTTATTTATGTTATGTATGTTGTATTATTAAACATATATTATTATTCTTGTCATTTTTCATGTTGACTGTTTTTATTAATTATTAAAACTTTAATTATTAAATTTTTTTGATATAAAAAACCCAGATAGAACCTAAAATTCTCTTGGAACAAACTATCTGAAGTTATACTAAATGAAGTTACAAGTAATAAATGAATAAAGATATTAAATAGTTTTTATTGCTTTTGTTAATGAGTTCTTGCTATATTTTAATCTAAGTTTTTTACTTGTGATGTCTCAATAACTGTTTGTTTATTTAGATAGCTTCATAGTTTTATTTGAAATTTAGTTGAAAAAATTTTTTTTATAGTTCAATATTTTTGTATTGATATCTTGTTATATTTTAATGATATACAAATGTCATTTGCATGATTGATTACTTAAAATGTTTAAATAATCAACACAAAATAAACTACTAATATACATTGATGTAGGAATAAAAAAAAGTTAATACTAAAACAAAACAAAACAAAGAAACATAAATTGGAATTCAAAACAATTTTTAAATTCCAATTGATGTTTATTTTTGTAATTAATGTATTAATCGTAATTTATGTAAATTATGATTAATTCAAACCATGGCTGCTGATAGCATGCAAAGTTTAAACTAAAGCTGACGAGGCTTAAAAGGTACAGAGTCGTGTTTTGTTTAGAATTAAATGAGAAGTTGATTAGAATGGTTCTTTGATTATATATTTTTGGGATTGCATGCAGCAAATTCTAAAATTTTTTTTCTAAAATAATAAGAGTCCTAAAATAATAAACTAAATTGAAAAAATTCAATCAGCTTTCAAAAAAAAAAATCAAAAAAAATTTTCTTTTTAAAATTCTATATACAAATTTTGCTCTTTTTTTTTAATTTCTTTTAAACTTACAGAAAATAATAATTTTAAATAATTTACTTAAAAGTACAGCAACAGTTATTATATATTTTTTTTTTTCTTTTTTTGTAGCTTGAAAGAACAGATGAAGTTAAGTATTTATGTGAACTTGCTAATGATCCTGAAAATGCCATTAGGTTTTCATTTAATCTTTTGTAAACTTTCTTTATACCCATGTGTTCTAAAAAAAAAAATATTAAAAAAAAAACTTAAAATTTATATTTAATATTTACTTAATATTTTAGATCTAAAATAAGCAACTATAAGAAGTTTGATGAAAAGGATTTGAGCTACACTAAGAGTTTTGATTCAATAAACATGGAAACAACTAATCACACTAAGAGTTTTGATCCGATAAAAGTTGAATCGTCTGAAGAGTTAGATAGGTAGGTGTATATTGTTTATAAGTACAGTAAGTAAGTACATAAGTACACACACACACACACACACACACACACACACACACACACACACACACACACACACACACACACCACCACCACCACCATGATTGCTTGAACTTCAAATGAATATATTTTCTCAAGACTACTTAATTGTAACATTTTATGTATGTAATAAAATGTTACAATTAATTAATGTATAATTATGTATGTATGTACATAAATACATACATAAGTACATACATAAGTAGGCTTTTGTGTGAGTTTTTGTTTATTATTAGTTTATTATTAGTTTTGTTTATTATTAGTTTTTTTATATTGTACTTGAAACTCAAAAGTATATTAAGTTCCACGATTCTGTTAACACAAAATGTTAGAATTGTTATAAAATGTTATACGGAGAACAAAACTATAAACAGAAAATAGAGATTTTTAATTTCTACTATATATAAATTACAATAAAATCTGAGAGCAAGGGGAAAATTATTAAAAATAAGAAATTGAGGCTATTGGGCAAGCTAAAATTTGCTGAAGTTAATAACAAATTTTTTTTATGCATCATAGAAAATAATGGAATTTACAGGAAAAAAGATCACTCAATGGTTACAGTTAATACTAATATCAGTTCATGTTTATATATTTATAAATTTAAGAACATTCAAGTTAAAAAATACCAAGTTTATTATATATCATTTAAGTTGTTTTTAATTTTGGGTTTTGAAGCTCTTATTATGATAAATTAAGAGTTGACATATGATTTGTATGTGGTTGAATACTTGGTAAAACTATTACTTTCTCTAATTAAAAAGCGCAGACAGCGAACTTTATTCTGGCCATCCGGAATTGATCATCTTTTCTAAATTATAATAAAGTATTAAAAACTTTTATATTAATTAAGGAATAGTTCAAAAAAAATTTGGAATAAACAAAAAAAATGGAATAGTTCAAAAAAATTTTTTTTTTTTTTTTTGGTGAAATAAAAACCAATTACAGTAGAAAATGATTAGACAGAGGCTTATTGTGCACTATTAGAAACAAGATAGACAGTGGTTTAGTGGACATCATTAAAAAAAGTTAGAATTGGTTAAGTAGTTTTTGAGAAATTTACAAATAATCATGGTGAAGCATTTACTTGTTAGTTTTAAATGTTTATATTATAAATAATTTACAGGCATATAAATAATTTATAGTGATGATTACCTTGTTCCTATAATTTATAGTGATGATGACCTTGTTCCTATAAACCCAAATAATGAAGAACTTGAAGAAAATGTTAATGGAGTGAAACCTCCTAGATACTTAAGAGACTGCATTACAGGTATGTCTAACACATCTGCAGTTTATATTTCAGGTTTATTATAATTTTATGTTATTTATTTTATCAGGTTTAAGAAGTAAAGAAGAACCTAATCACATAGAGGCATCTTTAAAAGCTCTTGAAAAACTTGTAAAATCAGAACCGGGTGATTTGTCTGATGTAAACATAATGTGTTTTAAATGTAAAATAAATAAATTCAAATAATTTGTTTGTAGTTTAAGGTGTTGTTTATAATCTAAGGTGTGTGTTGTTTATAATCTAAGGTGTGTGTTGTTTATAATCTAAGGTGTGTGTTATTTATAATGTAAGGTGTGTGTTGTTTATAATCTAAGGTTTGTGTTGTTTATAATCTAAGGTTTGTGTTGTTTAAATCTAAGGTGTATGTTGTTTATAAAGATTTGTGTTTTTTATAATGTAAGGTTTGTGTTGTTTATAATCTAAGGTGTGTGTTGTTTATAAAGGTTTGTGTTGAACTTGTTCAAATACTTATTCACTTGGAAGATCAGTTTTGCATCAGTAACTTTATTGAGATGAAAATGGCATCATTGGTTTCAATATGTGTTAAGTGTCCTATTAAAGTTAGTAATTTTTAACTTTTGTGTTATATCGAATTAAATTAACGATGATTTAAAAAAAAAAGTTTGAATTTATAAGATTACTTAAAATTTTGTAAAATTGCTCAATATTTTGTAAGGTTGCTCAATATTTATCACATGAGTTTTATGAAGAAAATTATAGTATAACACAACGTATTACTATTTTAGAGGTATTTCGTTTTGTTTTAATTGTGTTTTTTTTTACAAATTATAATGTTTTATTTAATTTTTATAAGTTGTATTTATTATTAATTTCAAAAATTTATGAAAATATTTAAACAGGTTATTGCATCAGCTGCAACTAAGTTATCAAAACCGTTATCAGATGATCCTGATTCTTTCAGAGAGCATTTAATGTCGATGCCACATTTGCAAATAGAAAATAAGATTGCTGAGTGGAGATTAGTTGTTGATGAAAGGATTAAAACAAAAACAAAAAGAAAGGTAAAGATTTTGTTGATATTTTCAAGTATATCCAGTATAGTATGTTTTTATAAATTGTTTTTTTATCATCTTTAATACTCTGTTCAGTTTTATTACCACTTATTCCCAGCAGAGTTGTTAACAAGGCCAAAAATAGCATGGCCAAGGCCAAGACCAGGGCCAAAAGTTATAAGGCCAAAGACAAGGCCATGGCCACATGTTACAAGGCCAAAAATAAGAGTTTCAAAGCCAATGCCTACGCAATTCATTTTCAAAGCTGAAGACTTCAAATTTTGCCTAACATTAATAAAGTAATTATGTAAAATAAAGAATGATTAACTACATAATTAATTATGTAAAACAAAAAATTAAAACTTTGAATTCTTTAATTTTATGTATTTTATTATAAAGGCCAAGGCCAAAACAATCAAGGTCAAGGCCAAAAGTCGAGGCCAAAAGTTTCACGATCAAGGCCAAGGCCTTAATTTTTGGTCTTAAGGTCAGGTCAAGGCCAAGTTCAAGGACTAACAACTCTGATTCCTAACTTCTTTGTTTTATTTATCAAAATTTGTCAACCAATCAAATCTAGTAATTCAAAGAAATACAATAATTTTAAAAATGGATAAAGATCTATTTGAGAATTTTAGGAAAAATTTAATATTTATTCATGGATGTTTCTTTGTTTATTAGGAAATTTATTATTTTATTTATAATAATTTACAATTTTGTTAAAAATTAAAATTATGTATATAAAAAATACAGTTAAATAAATATCACAAAATTTATAATAAAAATTTATCAAGTTTTGCTTTAAAAAAGTTCAAAGACTGCGCATTCACCACGTGAATTGGTAATAGTTTATTTATTTTACTCTATGTTCTAATTTATTTTAAGTATAATCTTACTAAAATCAAGCATTACTTGTGTGAGTGAATGTGAACTTATAATATTCCATTTTAAACAAAGTTTTATCATAGGTTGGTCATAGTAACAAATCAGTAACAGTACATTTAAATCGCTTTAATGAAGTTGCAGGATATTTCTTCTTTCCTTTACTAAACAAATTTGGAGGGTGAGTATTTGATGATGATGATGATGATGATGATGATGATGATGATGAAGATGATAATGATGATGATGATGATGATGATGATGATGATGATGATGATGGTGGTGGTGGTGATGATGATGATGATGATGATGATGATGATGATGATGATGATGATGATGATAATGATGATGATGATGATGATAATGATTAATTTTTTCATTTTAGGAAAATTAAAACTTTAGACATGCTGGGTGATGACAGTTTTATACTGGGAAAATTTATATACACTCTTGCAACAGTGCTTATGGCTGCTCAAAATTTACCTGTAATTTTTCTACCGCTTTGATTTTTGTAATAAAAATGATCATGATGATGAATAATTTTTCTACTCTTTTATGTTTGTTTTTTGTTATATAGATAATATAATAGATATATAAATGATATATTTTTGTGTGAAATATATATTATATTATATAGATTATATAAATAATATATTTTTTTTGTGTGCAATAATCTTTATTATAAAAAAATATTTTCTGAAAACTATATATTATTAATATAACTTTTTTTTTTTGCTTTTGTTGCAAAGATAGCAGAATTAATGGGTCATCAATTGTTAGAATTAATATGGACACTGAGATTTCATAGAGAAGCGTAACATTAATTTTTTTGTAGCTTTATTTTTTTTTATATTATTTATTACATCTTTTTTTATCTCAAAATTTTTATAAAATAGTTTTCATTTTCAGTTTGTACATGTCATTTCTTTTTATGCAACTTTAGGTTTGTACGTCAGTCAGTTCTTTTTGCTTTAAGTATGCTTGTAATGAATATGTCTACCCAGACGATGTTTACTAAATTGCATGTAGAAATGTGTGAAGCAAAAGAATGGTTAACTGGTCTTTATTTTTATTATTTTTTAAATTACTTTAGTGATAAGCTTCAAACTAAATAAAAATTTTATGTTATTTATTTAAAGGATTGTTAAATCATGAATTAAATGCAGAATGTAGAACGTTAGCTGTTTCTTGTCTACATTTAATGCAGAGAAGAATCAATCAAGTTAGTTTTCTATTGGATACTTCTTATAATCTGTTTTTATATTGACCTTTTACATTTATTTATTTTTTATAGGAAATGCCTAGTGGTTTATTCTAGTTTACTTTATGGACAGAATTTAACTTGTTCATTATCTTTATTGGTGAATGAAAGATATTTAAAAGTGTAACCAGTTAAAGTTTTATGCTTACAGCACATTGTTATTGTCTTGAATAATTTTTTTATAACAATCTTCATTGTGGTGAATTTCTAAATGAAGTTTTTTGTTTTTTTATTATCAAGTAGATATTTTTAGATGAAAATAAATTAATTTTTACTTCAGTTGTTAAATAATTATTTGTGCATATTGTATGTTTCATGCTTGTGATTAATTTGATATGTTGCACTTCTATGGAATTGATTGTTGCGCATTTTATTAAAAGATTTCTCAATAAATGAATATTAATTACTTTTAATAATAGAAAAATTAAAGTTTTATTATCTTAGATTTAAAATGAATGAAGAGACTAATAGTGCTTTGCAATTTGATGATGGACACGAAGATGGCAGAAAAGCAGATAAAAAAGAGACTGAATTGATTTGTGAGAAAGATACTGCAAAAATAAACATTGAAAACAGTGAACAATCTTTTTTAGGAAAATCAAAAACTGATGATAGTTTAGTTCCATCTATAGATTTTTGCGATCCTGACTATAAGGTGGATAATCTTTTCAATGAAAAACAAAGTTCAAATTCAATGCAACATGATACTGCCTCGACTAATAATGTTGAAATATTACCTGATAAAGAACCCAACTTATTTGAAGTTCCATTAGATACCAAAGACTTTGATGTTGAAATTAAGCATGAATCTACTGAAGACCACAAAAATAAGTTACTTATGGTATCTTCTCATCCCAATAAAAAAGATAAAAGAAAAGAAATAGAGAAAAGATTTTCATGTGAACACTGCGAAAAGCGTTTTGCTTATAATCGTCAATTGGTAAAACATAATCGCATTCATACTGGTGGAAAACCTTACAAATGTAGCGATTGTAATTTTGTTTTTAAACGTAATGATCATTTAATTCGTCATCAAAAAACCCATTCTGCTGAAAAACCTTTTAAGTGTGAAAATTGTGATGGTGCTTTCAAAAGAAAAGATCATCTTCTTCGACATAACCGAACACATTCTGCAGGAGAAAAAATTACAATTAATGATGAACAAAGAATAAATTTTCAAACCAAAGCAGATGTTATTGGAGATAATAAAATTCATACACGATCATATAAATGTGAAAAAAATTTTACAAAGATAGAAAGTATAACAGCATCTATTAAAACAAACAAAGATTTCTGTCCTCAAATAAAAGAAAACATGTGTCTTATTTGCTCAAAAACTTTCACAAGAAAATCACATATTGCAAGACACATGAAAATCCATAGTGGAAGTAAAGAAAAGCTTTCTACAAATGGAGAGGCTATGAATGAAGAAGCTATGAATGAAGAAGCTACAAATGAAGAAGCTACGAATGAAGAAGCTACGAATGAAGAAGCTATGAATGAAGAAGCTATGAATGAAGAAGCTATGAATGAAGAAGCTATGAATAAAGAAGCTACGAATGAAGAAGCTATGAATGAAGAAGCTATGAATGAAGAAGCTGTGAATGAAAAAGCTAAGAATGGAGAAGCTAAAAATGAAGAGGCTTTGAAAAGTGAAAGTTGTGAGACAGTTTAACACTGGTGAAACAATTGACCATGAAGAATGCCATGTTAATAATAAACAAAAATTCTTTAAGCCATGTGCTGATATGACCAATGGTAGTTGGAATTAAATAAAAACTGTTTAAAGATATTTTAAAACATTAAATATGAAGTTGAAATAAATTTTTATTTGAGATTTTGAAGGTTTTGAAAATTAGCTTTTGATATAAAAATTATATTTGAAATAAATAGTTGTGAAAAATAAGTCATTACAAAGCTGACATTTTGTTTTTCCTAAATTTTTACAAAGTTAAGACGAATTTTAGAAGTTAACATTTATAAATTGTAACACGCAATATTTATATCAGAAACTTAATTACATTTTAAATAAAAAGTGTATTTTATATACTTTTAAAATTTTAATAAGAATTTATCCATTGAAGTATAAAAATTATGTGAAACCAATCTTATTCATACATTATATATATATATATATATATATATATATATATATATATATATATATATATATATATATATATATATATATATATATATATATATATATATATATATATATATATATATATATATATATATATATATATATATATATATATATATAATCATTATTATGAAAGAATACGTAATTTTTTTGTTACTATTTTTTTACTGAATAAAGGTTTTTAAATTTATTCATTGCTAAGTGTTTTGGTAAATTTTTTTAGTGCTCGAAATTTAAAACAAAAAGATTTTGAAATGAAATTTAAAATCTGTTAAATTTTGTTTTAGCCTAAAATAAATAGATCAAACTGATAAAAATACCTTCAAAATGGGAATGGGGTTAAGATTTTGGATATGTTTTGTTGTTGTTTTTCTTTAGTTCCCAGGTCCCCAGTTTTTATTTTAAAAATCTTATTTACGCTACAGATTGTTGCTTTACTGTTATAACACTTTACTGTTATAAAACTTTACTGTTATAAAACTTTACTGTTATAAAACTTTACTGTTATAAAACTTTACTGTTATAAAACTTTACTGTTATAAAACTTTACTGTTATAAAGCTTTACTGTTATAAAGCTTTACTGTTATTAAGCTTTACTGTTATAAACTAATATTACTTGTTGTTGTTTTTTTTTAATTTTAGGTATAAAATGAATGAAGAGAGAAATAGTGTTTGGGAATTCACCAAAGATGGCGGGCAAATGCTAGCAAAATTAAGAGTTGATTTGGTCCGACCTGATGATCAAAATGTATTTGGAATGGTAGATAGTTTTAAAAAAGAGAGTGATAATGATTGTGAAACAGGTATAACGATAAAAGTTCAAAACAATGATGAACAGTCGCTATGTTCTTTACAACAATCAAAAATAAATTGTTTAATCCCATCTATAGATTTCTATAACCCAGCCTGTGACACCCAAAAACGTTTAGGAGATTCTGCAGGAGGTAATTTTTCAGATAAACTTAACTCAAACGAAACACAACATAATATTGCAATGAGTGTTAATGATGATGCTTTACCTGATGAGAAACCCAATTTATTTGAAATTTCTTTGAGTTCTTTAAAGGGTATCAGAACTGAAATGGAAATCGAATTAGTTGGAAATAACGAAAAGGAATTGCATAATAAGCCTGCTCATCCAATTAAAAAAATCCAGAGTATCAATAAAAAAAAACAAATAAAAATGGATAAAAGAGAAAAAAGATACTCATGCGAACACTGTGAAAAGCGTTTTGCTTCTAATCACCATTTGATAAAACATAATCGCATACATACTGGTGAAAAACCTTACAAATGTAGCGATTGTGACTTTGTATTTGGGCGCAACGATCATTTGATTCGACATAAAAAAACCCACTCTACTGAAAAACCTTTTAAGTGTGATAATTGCGACGGTTCTTTTAAACGAAAGGATCATCTTTTGCGACATAGTCGTACACATTCAGCAGAAAAAAAAATTGCTTGTGATGTATGCAATAAGCTATTTAAAAGTAAAGAAGATGTTAATGGACATATGAAAACCCACACACGGCCTTATAAATGCGAAAAATGCGAAAAATCATTCGCTAAGAAAGAAAATATTAGAGCGCATATGAAAACCCATGAAGAATTTTGTTCTTCTCAAATAAAAGAAAATATGTGCCTTATCTGTTCAAGAACTTTCACAAGAAAGTCTCACGTTGCTAGACACATGAAAATACACGGCGGAAATAAAGAACAGCTTTGTGCAAATGAAGGAGTCGTGAATAAGGACAATGGCGACATTACTAGTGTCACGGTCAGCCAAGCAATTGAGGACCATTTTAATAATGAAAAGCTATTAAGCAATGACACCGTTATCACTATCGATGTGACCAATAGCAGTTTGAATTAAACAAAAACTATAGACTAAAGTCGACATCTAATTTAAATAATGCGAGTTCTCTTTATTTAATTTCAAATAATTGGAATTGTAATATATAATCGTATATTGTCTTTATTTACGTAAATTCCAATGAATAAAGGAAATTCCAAAGTAGTTTAAAATTATCATGATTTTGAAAGAGTATTTGGTGTTCGGGGAAGAAATTTTTTGCAATGGCATGAAGGCTTATAAAATTTTTATAAAAAAAAAAAGACTATTATATTTTATACCAAAAAAAGGAAAAAATATTATATTTAACTAATGTTTGTAAACTCCACAGCCAAACCTAAGTCTGGAAACCTCCCATCCAGACAAATCTTGAAAATTTTTTCATTCAAATGCTCGTTAATTATATCTCTATCAAGAGATAAAAATTTCTCTTGATGAGGCTTTTGATTTTTTATTTAGAAGTTATATACTAAATGCATCATAAGTAATAAATCTAAAAGCTAAGGAATATCCTTGATAAATACTTATGTTTAATTATAAATAATATAAAATACACATAAGAATTATTAAAAAAAAGCAATTTATTTAATACTATTTAATATTATTTACAGTCAGACCTAGAAGCTAGAGTTTTTTAAATAGAAGTTGGAAGTAGCTTTTTTTTTGTTTTTTTGTTTTAGTTTTTTTTTTTTTTATTTATTTATTAATATAAAGTGATTAATACAATAATTGCCTTATTATTTTTTAGTTTCGATGATTAACTGCTCGCCCAGATCATCCCAGGGCAAAAGTTCCTTTAAGTTTCTATACATTTTTTAAACATATTTTTACAGTAATTCTAATAAAATTACTATAAAAACTTAAATTCTATAGAAATTGTTATACAAAGTGTTTTTTTACATAATAAATGCAAAGAAAAAAATAGTTTAGAAATAGAGACTTTTTCTAATTAAATTAATAGTTTTTATAAAAATTCTACAAGAACTCTTATAGGCTACAACATTTTCTTTACACCTTTGTAGCATAACAGTATGTTTTAAAATATATTTTTCAAAAAGGCTCGTCCATAAATTACGTCACGCTGTAGGGGGGGGGAGGGGTTGGTGGTTTTGTGACGACTCATACAAAACTTGATTCTTAAGTATTACAATTTTGTGACGAGGGGGGAGGGGGTCAAAATTGGTCAAAAATTGCGTGACGTAATTTATGGACGACCCCAAAGTATATATATTTAAAGGAACTTTTTATCATCGGATCTTGTTGATGTAGAATAATTAAGTTTGAAAGATTTTTACAAGTTTTATATATAATCCTAATATTTTTTTAAATGTTTAATTAATTTAAACTTAAGAAACTTAATGTTCAATTATTTATGATGCACAGCTTTTTTTTCTCAGAGTTTATTTCAAATTTGTTACGTTAATCTATTGGTCGTTGTCAAATATTTGTTGCTTAAATTGAACATTTATAAATGTTGTATTATCAAATATGTTTTAACATATTTGTAACAATTTTCTATACGTTTATACTGACGAAAAAACATTACTTTGTAGAATATCTTTATGAGACAATACAATAAGGGGCTATCCATAAAGTACGTACGCAGGTATGAGGGGAGGGTTTTTCCCAAAAGAGTACATAGGGGGAGGGGTGTTAAAGACAGTGAGTACGTGCGCGGTTTGGCTACCCCTTCTAAACTTTTAAAACATTGAATTTCACGTGTTTCACAAATCAGTATTGTGTTTTTTTTTTCTGACTCCAGTCACAATTTAATTTTTTTATAAATAACGAGGAGAGAAAAAGAAGTCGAGCGACAATTGTTCCAAATATTTTTTATTTTGAAAAAAGAAAAACTTTCAGCTCTACTAGCTAACTAATTGATATATCTGCTTGCTAACTCAAAGATGTAAGATAATGCTGCTATGCCAATGTTATTATGTATAAGCTAAGGAGCACATTTTCTTAAAAGATACAAGGAGTAAACTTACAGCGGGCTATTGGATCAATAGACAAAGATAAAAAAAACAGAGCTCAAACTTCAAAGCAAACAGGGCTCAAACTTTAATTATGTGCCATTTATTCATTTCTGCTACACCTATGACATCAGCCATACTTGAGGGTATTGGCATTGTTCACATGATGACAAAACACAAGTTAATGACCGGAGCAAGATAAAGCGCAAGTGCTTGAAATCTTGAAATTTGTTCAACTTGAAAGTTAGTGAAGTTTAGGTAGAGGTGTTGCACTTTGATGGTAAAAATAACCGGACTTTCAATAAAAATAGAAACATAGTAATTAAAAAGCGCATATCCTTGATTTAGGAACTTTGATGACGTTTTTTTAGACACTGCTCTTTTTGTAACAAAACAGCTAAAGCATTAAAATCTCAAATTCTATAGTATTCTAAAGAATACAATATCATTTTAAATGATTTACAAGTGCTAGAAGGTGATAGAACTAATGTAAACACTGGAAGCAAGATTTGTGTTATTAGAAAACTCAACAGTTAAAGCTTTAACGCGTCTACAATTGGTAATTTATTTGCTGCACGCAAATGACCTTCCACAACGTCATTTGTTTGTGGAGTGAATGGAGCAAAATCTGGTTCTAGCTATTGTTTAGGCTCTATTAGAAAATCATATATAGTTATAAGTGATTTTCTAATAGAGCCTAAATAGATATTAAAGATATTAAAGATTGAGACATTAAAGGTTGTTGATTTTCAATCTATAAACCATAATGTAGAAATGCCAGAGGGTGAACTAAAAATGCTCATTACTGATCAGCTTTGCATTTTTGACTTCTGTACTAAGTGGGACTTGTTCTGCTATTCTAACCCATGAAAACGGCCTCAATCTAGATGGCTGACCACTGCCAACAGGGTCCTCAGATTATATGTTTCTACCAAAATCCCTCATTAAATTTTGAAACTATGGCAACATACATTATGCCTCTATGTGGTTCATCATCAAAAAAAAAGTCTATTACCCTTTATGGAAGGCATCTATGTAGTACAATAGTCAAATCATGGTATATGTTACAAGCCCTACGTAAGGTAGTAGACAAGTTAATAAACAAATGCATTCTTTGGAAATAAAAACGTATGTATTTTATGGACAACTCCTTAGAATATCATTTATTTCCCTTCGTTTTATAACCAACTGTTTAGAGTTTTTTCCTTAACGGACACTCAAATTCTTCGATAGTTTAACTAAGAGATATGAAAACGGCTGTTGTTTTATTAAACTTTTATCACTGTTTTTTTTTTTATGAAGCCGAAAAGTTAATTATTATCTATTCTTAAAAATTTATACATTTTTATATCCTTGCAGTAGTGATATAAAGATCCCACAACTTTTTTAAAAAAAAAATCTTTCAAAATAATTGTTATTAAAAAAAATCTCAAAAATCCTTGTAAAAATGCACTTTTTTAATTTTTAATTAAAAAACCGTATTTTTTTAAGTATCAAATTCTAAAATGAAACATTTTATATAAGAAAATTATTATTTTTGAACTTTCTGTTTAATTTTGCTTCTTTTGAGTACGGGTTGACTTACTTTTGAAAGCGAAAGTTTTTTAAATGGTTATTCTATTATATAAAATATATTTATGGGGTCACAATCAAAAATTTTTTAAATGTTGTTTTAAAGGTCACCCTAGGTATCAGGAATGTAACGAAGGTATCAGAGGTGTAAGGAAAGTTTTAAATTTACTTTATTGGAACAGAATTATTTTATAGTAAAATGCATATATGTATAAAAGATGCTTCGGAGCTTCAACTCATGCTTCGATAGGTTTGACAAGCTTCGATTAATTTTTTCAAGTTCTGATCATTAGAATTTATAACAAAGATCAAATGTGAAAATGTAGCACATTCTATCGAACTTGAGAGTTTTGATTCAAAGCAACTTTGGTTTAGGTATTAAAAAATTAAACTGAAACATTTATTAAAAGTTGTTTATAAACTGGGAATTGAAAGTCTTAGTTTAAACCTCAGATTTCGATAAACTTTCACTATGCATCCGACACACCTCCGTTACATGTCTGTTATGTATGTTAACAATATTAAAATGATGCATTAAGTAACAAAAAGCGAGTATTTATTTTCAAAGATAAATTTGTTATAAATCTTTTATATTAAAATATGAAATATTTATATTTTATTATATTTGTATTATACAAAAATTTCTTATTTAATAACTAAAAAACGTTATTTCCCCCAGTTCTACCTGATTAAAATAAAAATTAAAATAAAAAAAGATTGCGTCACAAAATTGTTAGATGAATTCCATGAAAGCGATATATTGAATATGTTGGCACTAAAGTTTCCAAAGTTATTTGAATTCTTTATAAGGCCAGAATCTATATAAATAAAAGTTTTATCCCATTTTTTTATGGATTCATTCACCTCTATAATAAAGTAGAGCAGTCAATCCGTCTGTCCTACCATGACAACAGGCGGCAAAATTAAAATGTAAACGCGTTAAAACATTGAAGAACTTTTCCAAACTTCTCGAAGTTAATAGAACTTTTCGAAGTTTCCAGAACTTTTTTAAAACTTTTTTAAACTTCTTGATCTTTCTAGAACTTTTCCGAAGTTTCTAAAACTTCTTGAAGTTTCTGAAACTTTTTAAAGTTCCCAGAACTTTTTTAACGTTTCTAGAACTTTTCGAAGCTTCTAGAACTTTCCCAAAGTTTCTAGAATTTTTCGAACTTTCAAGAACCTTTCCGAAGTTTCTAGAAAGTTCGAGACTTTAGAACTTTTTGCCCTTAGAACTTTCTAGAAAAACCAATATATATATATATATATATATATATATATATATATATATAAGCGCCTTCAGATTTAGTAATTAATTTAGTATTCTCTGCAGAGATTTATTTATTTTTGCTAAGCTATTACATAATGGCTATGAATTATATTTATTCGTCAACCTCGGAACAATTTGCCATTAAACGCGATTAAAAAAAGGGATTTAACGAGAAAAAGAAACACCCGAATAGCGTAGACAACGACTCGCACTAGACCGCGAACGACATTGACAACGGCGACAATCAGTAACGCCAGAACAAGGTGAACAAACCCACAAGTATGATCGACAACGGTATTTGAAACAGCACCTAACAGAGTCAGCTAAACATCGGCAGAGGCAATTGCAAAATGATCGAGAATGACATTAACATTATCGGCAACGTTAGAATAGAAATCTTACACACCATCGCCTAGCTGTAAATCTACCAGAATTTCAAACTACTTCCAACCAGGTAATGAAGCCAGCGCAACTGAAAGAGCTAACGCAAAAAACACAACTTTAACGGCATGGTTCCAATTAAACGAGCGCTCGAAAAAAGTTGTTTTTAAGAAAGAGCAGCCTAACAAAGCACCATCATTGATTCGCGTCAGTTTGTACGACAAAATACTAGAGATTTTGTCGTACAGAAAAGAAATCGAACGTATATACGCTCAGTCAAGAGAAGAAGTGCGTTACTACACTAGCTACATCATTCGAGTATTTATAAACAGTCAATGGAATAACCTACCCAACATTTAAAGATGTAGCACGGGCAACTGGATACCTGAAAGACAACAATGAATATCGCCACAGTTTACAAGGAGCATCTTTTCTTCAATGCCGTCAAAAATGCGACCGTTATTCGCTTACTTAATTTGTTTTGGCAAAACCAATGACGCCCTAGCACTTCGAGAAAAATTCAAGACTGCCATGTTGGATGATTACAGACACCGAACGATGTCAGTACAAAAAAGCAAAGCATACGCATATGCTAATATCGGACAAATTGTCTCCAATTGTGGACAAGCTGTTATCATCATTATACCAGTGCCGAAATATCCTTTGCCAACGCCTGATAAAACCAAAATAAACATCGCAGAATGTAAGCTGCCGAACTGTACTCGACTCTGAATAAAGAACAAAAAGCAGCTACAGATGCTGTTCTTACATGCATCAATGCTGACTAACGATGCTTCATCAATGGGCCAGGCGGTTCAGGCAAGACACCTATAGACATAATTTTCCTACATTTTCGCTGAACAAAGCAAAGAGATTCTAATCGTTTCGTGGTAAGGTATTGCTGTTACTTTAATGCCACTTGGAAAAACAGTGCATTCTGTACTCAACTTGCCAGTTACCTTTACGGGCAGCTAATTGCACATTACTGCACAAAAGCCAAAGTAAACAAGCTAATTTTCTACGGCAATTATATGGGACGAGGTGCCAATTTAGACTAGAGACAAGTAGATATGTATATGAATGTGGGGAAAATGTCGACAGAACGCATTTCTCGTTAGAATTCCTCAACAGCATTACTCTGGCTAGATATCTGCCGCATGAATTAAAATTTAAGGTCGGCGAAATAATGTAATTGAGTAGTCTCGACGTTAAAAACTGACTATGCAATGGAACGAGACACCATCGAACGGTTCGAGAAAATCTAATTGGCTGCAGAATTATAGCCGACAGCTACAAAGGCAGTTTCGTTTTAGTTCCACAGATTACGATATGCCCGAACGACTAGACACCACCGCTTCGTCTGCGTCGACATTAGACTATCGACTATCATTTGCAATGACAATCAACAAAAGTTAGGGGAAAACGTTCAAGAAAGTCGGATTATATCTGCAAAAACCAGTCTTCGGAAATGGGCAAATGTAAGTCGCTTTACCACAAGTGCTATGCATAAATGGCATAAAAATTTATTTATCAGATAACCTAACGCAAACCTGTAACATACTTCATAAAGAACTATTATAATGATCGATAACTAAGTTGTCTATTTTTCTGTGTAAAAATTAAAATGCGTTATTTGTAAAAACTTTGTAATGTTAAATACTATTTTATTTACAAAATAAGTTTATAAAAATAAAAACGAAAGTGAGAGCAGAGTTATTATATATTGAAAGTGTGAGCAGAGTTATTTTATATTGAAAGTGTGAGCAGAGTTATTATAAATTGAAAATGTGAGCAGAGTTATTATATTTAAAGTGTGAGCAGAGTTATTTTATATTAAAGGATAGTATAAGCTTGTAGTCTGTATACAAAGCAAAAAGAAAGGTTTACTTTAAATGATTTTACTCAAATAATTTTTAAAACAAATACAAGTTTTGTGCGCGCCGACGGCGCGCACAAAACTTGTACAATATAAAACCCATCAGAATCTTATAATACTACAGCAAAACAGCAATATCAAGTTCTATTGCAATACAGACCCTGTATTCCATTATTACTTGATATAGCAAATGTTTTGTCCTGCGGAATATTCTAGTTTAATATAAAAATGTCCTACATAACTAGGGGCTTTTTTCAACTCCTATGGGTACCCTGCAAACCTAGTAAACTAATAATTTAGTATTACTTAATTATAAGTCCAGCAAAAGCCTTCATCTTACGGTATAAAAAACGTAAATGACTTAAAAAAATTCTGCAGGATCTAACAGGACATATCGTGAAATAATTTTTTTTTAATGTAATTTTAGTATATTTGTTTAAGAACTTATAGGAACCCTTTTATTCAAAGGGAATTTAATATTATTCCTATGATCTACAGAACTCAATAAAAATTTTTGACTAGAGATATAGCAATACTTTTGGACCTAAAGGAATCATATATAAAGTAATCCTATAAGATCCTGTAAGACTTTTTAGCATTGGTAGTCTTCTACCACCAATACATGTTTTACAAGTTTTTGTTCCATAAAACTTTTGGTATAACGTAAATCAGTAATATCTATATTTGTACAAAACAATAGTAATATCATATCATATCGTAGTAATATCAATTTATACATAACAATCATCAATTATTATGTATAAATTGTTAAACTGGTGAGCCAAGATTAGAAGAAACGCACGTACCTAAATTTGCATTCCGCATCACATAAGCTGGTAAAGAACGCAATACAAAAACAATCAACACAACTCTTCAATTGATAAATAGTACTTTATAAATATATATATTTTTAAATACAAATATTATAAATATATGAAATATTGTTTTTATATAAATAGAGAGAGGAATTATTAATGAATAATTAGCACAAAAGAAAACTTGAATTTTAATAAAATAGTATCAAATTTTTCTAAAAATACACAAAAAAGTAAAAAAAAAATTGTAGTTATTTTTTGAATATTATTTTAAAGTTTTTTATTATCAATAAACATTTTCTTTTTTAAAATCATTTATGTGAAAGAGTTTTTAATAGAAAAAATACACAAGTTTAGTTTTTTATTATGTTATTATAATGATAAATGTTATTATTATTATAATTGTTATTTATAATGAAGTTAACTATCATAAAACAAAATGCTAACAGTTGTAAAAGACAAAAAAAAAGTTATTTTCTTTTTAGGCGAGAGAAAATTTTCTTGCTCTTCTTGAATATTGAATTCTTTTTTTTAATCTTTGGAGAATCCACATTCAACTAAAACAAATCGTTTAATAAAAGATAACTATTTACTGCAATAAAATAAAGATATTTAATCACTGCAAAAAATTTACCTATAAATGTTTTTTAAACTTGAAAATAATAATATGATCACAAAATATAGGATTCATCACTAAATATGCTTAACTAAATATTATCACGCATCATGTTTAAGGAGACAATAACGAGTTGTACAAATTTGTTCAAAAACTTTAGAACCATCCCTTATTTTTACTATGATAACATTGATAACATTTTGACCTGTACGTGCTAAAAGCAGTTGTACAAGTAAAAATGCAAAAATGTCTCGAACCAAGATTCCAGTTCATGTTATTGTAGAAAAAATAACGATTCGTAGTTGCAGAGAAGTTATTTATTTAATATATGGCATCAAGAGGCTGTTTGCATCCAACTGATTCATTCTACTACGTGTCCGTACAATTCATAAAGACAAAAGTGAAAAAGTATTTCGTGGAAGCAAATCATATAATGCGCAAGACCAACTAGACATACTTTGGCGTGCCGGTAGGGAACCAAGACAAATCTTAGGCACCGCATTTCACATGCAAATATTAAAAGAAAACACTTGAAAGTAAACTAAACAGTTGCTTCTTGCTTGTGTTTTATTTTATTTTTATAAAATTAGATCTTGTTAAATTCTTTAGATCTTGTTAAATTCAAGGAGTTGTAATTTACTTTACTGTAATTATCTTTTGTCATGTCATGTACTGTAGATAAATACGTTCCATCTTGAAATCGTTCCATATTTTGAAATTTCCTGTCCTCAAATTAATATAATTCTTATGTATTATGCGCTATGTTACGGGTTGGTACAAAAGAGAGAAGCAAACCATGAAGTTTGCTATCCCGCGAATGTGGCGAGAGCAGAAGGACCGTCACACCGGCAAAAAATGCCTCTCAGATCGTTTATCCGGACATACCTTCTTCCATCGCCTTAGTACCACACACCCCTGATCTGCCTGTTCCAACTCCTCCTAGGCAGCATCAGCCAATTTCAGGAGACAACAGCATGTCAAATAGCAAGGCAGATACTTGAGATATGGACAACAATTCCGCAGATGAAGTTGGAGATAGAAAGCCAACCAGAAAGATTTAATTAGGGACCTCGGGCTTACAAAATCGAATGCTGAGCTTCTGATATCCAGGCTCAAACAGTGGAACTTGGTTGATGATAGCGCACAAATCACGGATCAGAGGAAGCGACATCAAAGATTCTCCAACTTCTTTAGTCAGCGTGCTGGGCTGTATTTCTGCAACGATGTTGCTGGTCTATTCCAGGCTATAGGTATTGTATGTAATCCTATTGAATGGCTCTTATTTTTATAAACAGTTCATCCTAGAGCCTCAAAACCGCGTTGCTTCAATTGAAATAACTACCTGTCTTTCCCGATGGCCCACTGTGTGCATCTCAAAGAGGACTACATCAAAGTCAAAATGTTGTTGAGTGCATGAAGTATGACAACTACAGATGGATGGTCATTGGTGACTTCAAAATGGTATCATTCCTCATGGGCCTTCAAGAAGATTTCACGAAATTTTCTTGTTTACTCTGTCTCTGGGACAGCTGTGACACTAAGGCACATTATAGCAAAAAGGATTGGTCACAATAGACTAAGTTTTCTGTTGGGAGAAGTATGATAGAACCTCATAAAGTGCTTATGCCACTGCTACATATCAAGTTAGGCTTCATTATGCAATTTATCACTACTCTTAAAAAGGAGTCAGCAACATTTCAATGCCTCAAAATCTTTTTCTAAAGCTTTCAAAGTTAAGGTCAGGGCTGGTATATTCGTTGGACCACAGATCAAGATCATAGAATGAGAGGATTTTGCAAAGCTGTTAAACGGGATGGAGAGAGCAGTTTGGAGCAGTTTCGTTGCAGTTGTTTAGAGATTCCTGGGTAATCACAAAGCTGAAAACTATGTGGAGTTGGTGTAGACTCTCATAAAGAATTATTCCAAAATGGGATGCAGAATGTCTCTAAAAGTCAATATATCTTGATGAAAGCAAGGCGTTTTCATCATGATATATTGACTTTGAACGCCATTACCATGAACAGTATAACAAAAATATGATCGGGAACTACATTTGGAGGCTACTTCGAGTGAGTGATTCACAGTACAATCATAAATCTAAAAAATATAAACGTTTCTGAACTTTGTTGAATGGTTTCTAAGTGTGATTGTCTATTCCTTGTGCAATTTTTGTTTTTACCTGATCATAATGACGAAAAAAATTATAATTCACAAAAAAAAAAAAAAAAAAACAAGTTTTCTTCCTACTGTTGTCATGTAAGCAAAGTCTGTGCTTAATGGAGTCATTTTTTCACATTCTTTAGACACAAGCAATGAAATATTACACTTAGGAGCCAGAAACAAAAATTGTGTTACATAGTGTTATCAGACATTACTTAGACAATTGAACAGAAATGTTAGTAGACAATAGTAGAAATGTTAGTTACAAAAAATGTTAGTAGACTTTTTATTAAGACTCTTATTATTATTACTTTTGTTAATTAATAAGTTCAAAATAAGTTATATGAACACAGAATATTAACAATTTATTTATGGAACATTGTTGAATGTAAACAAGTCTTGTATTATTGCCTAAGTTATTAACCAAAATTTGTTTTAAAACTCATAAGTATACTATTAATTATTAAATTAAAATTTTTTTATTCTGATTTACTCCCAACAAGGCTGCAAGAAACTACTATTAAGTTGGGAGTTACTAGAAGAAAAAAAAATTGATTTATAGAGCAAGGAAATAGTTGATAGAGAACATGAAAAGTTGTAGATTGTATGCGTTTTTGGACCTTGCCTAGAAGAGAAAGAGCATCATTAGAAGAACAAGCCCAAATATGACAACAGTATTCCATACAGGAATGAATAAGAGATTTGTAGAGTAGAGAATGGAACCAGGAGTAAAAAAACGGCGAGCACAATAAAGAGAAACAACTTAGCAGATAGTAATTTAGTAATCGATTGCATATATGGTTTTCATGAGAGGTCAGTAGTGAACAGTAATCCAAGAAGACGTAAAGAAGAGGACTCAGTGAGAGGGCTGCCATTTATTAATATAGGAATGTTGACAGTATTGCAATAATTGTTTGCAGTAAATAACTGAGTTAAAGTTAAAATTTACAAGCCACTGCAAGCCCCAAACTGTTACAGAAGTGAGATCAGATTCGAGATTGGCTGCCTGTTCTAAGCAATCAAAAGGAAAATACTCTTTGTCAAGACAGGAGTATAAAGTTGAGTCATCAGCAAATAGAGCCACTATAGATGTATGGTTGTTAGGAAGATCATTAATGTAAATGAGAAACAAAACAGAACCAAGGATAGAAACTTGCGATACCCCAGAAGTTACCGGAAGTGAAGAAAAATGGAAATGAAGAAGAGATCTTTGAGGACAACTTTATTAAAACAGTTAGATAGGAGGGATCATAATGTTCTTTAGAGTTTTTCAAAATTGGAAACATTTCATTGGATGCCATTTTCTAGCAGGAAGAAAAACAAGACTCAGCATTAATTAAATAGTTTTAATTGATTTAAATAAGGCAAGCACTTTTTAAATAATTTAGAGAGAATTGAAGAGAGTTCTGAAGAACATTTCTGTAAAACTATGACAGGAATGTTGTCTGGACCACATGCAGTATAAGATTTTAATTGTAATTTTATATTAGCAATAGAAGCTAGAGTGATTTGAATGTCTATCAATGATATGTTAATTTGTTTAATTGGAATAAAAGGAAGATAATGGCCATAAGATTTAAGAGTTGTATTAGAAGAAAAGTTCTGTTCAAATAGTTCTGCCTTATCATTGGGAGAGATAATAAAATCACTCCTATGAATGAGAGATGGAATGAATGAATGAGAGATGGAATGCCTACCTTTGTTAATGACGCTGTTGGAGATTCTAAAAAGTCTAAAAAGTCTCTTGAGTACTTCTGAGATAAGATTTTGTGAACTGAGAATGGAGTTTAGAATCAGACTGCACTCTTTTACATCAATTTCTTGCAATAATAAATAGCTGCTTGTTCTTAAGAGAGTTGTTCTTTTGAAAAAAATGAAAAAAAATGATTATGATTAGATATAGTCGGTGCACAAGAAGGTAGAACGATAGAGAAGAAAAAAGATAGAATTAATCTGTTTTAATTGGAATAAATGGAATAAATGCTTCCATAGCTATCTGGATTTAGAAGGTTATGTAAGAGGCACATTTATCTGTGGAGAGAGAAAAAACATCAGCCGAAGGACTGTCACAAAGAAAATCATAAAAAGAATTCCAGTCAGCTTTAGAGTAGCAGTAAGTAGTGGGATGATAGGGTGAGTCCGAAGAAGTTCAAGATAAAAGACTTATAGAGATCATTGCATGGTCAGGAAAAAGGAGAAATTGGAAAAAGGAGAAATTGAACATAAGCTAGGGTCACAGACAAGACACGAATTAAGGAGTGAAGGTAAATGATTAGGGTTGTCTGGAAAATGAGTCACAAAGTTAACTATCTGAGTAAGAGATTGAGAAATGTAAAAGTTATAGGTTTTAGTACCAGCAAGGTCATTGGCGTTAGAGCCAAGCCACTCAGTGTGATAAACATTATAGTAACCAATAACATCAATATTGACATAGGGGTAAAGAGAAAGGGCATGGTCAATTTGATCAGAAATTACATCTAGAACAGTGCAGCCTTAAGAAGAAGGAGAACTATAAAAAACAAAGAGAAAAGTGATAGAGTGAAGAGGTGCTAAGCGGATGCATATAAAAGAATGGTAAAGTTACTTTACAGACCACGAATATTTGTGAAAAATATATTGAAACAGGTGGTGGGGATAGTTTTTTATGTTTAATATTTTGGTTTACTTTAGGCATGATTTAAGTTTAAAGAGAACTTGATTCATTCTTAGATAAAGCAATGAGCTAAACAGTTTCCTCAGTCCCATAATTAACCTTAAGACTTAATATCTTGATGCAATTAACATCTGCCCAAGATGAGAATTTTTATCGAGACGCAATCTATAAGCTTTACTCAACCAAGAGCCTCAAGGCAGAGGATTTTTAAGTCAGAGTTTATTCCTCCTAACTATAGCCTAAAAAAGCAAAGCCTACAAGGCAGCAGGGCATGGGGCAGGTAGTACTGGGTTGCATAATAACAGTAACAAGGTGATCGTGATGATCCTGAACCTGATCTAACCTGAAAAATTTACTGTTTTTTTTTTTTTTTTTTTTATTTGCATTTACTCCCAACAAGGCTGCAAGCAGCCACTATTAAGTTGGGAGTTACTAGGAAAAAAAAAAAAGAACAGAGTTATAGAGCAAGGAAACGGTTGACAGAAGACTTGAAAAGTTGAAGGTTGTATGAGTCAGTCTTCAACATGAAGATGGGAGAGAGTTCCAAAGGATTGAAGTGCAGGGAAAAAAACTAGATGAATAAAAGTTTTTAGAGCATGCAGGGACAGATACAGTAAACAAATGAGACTTAGCTGAATGATGAGTAAAACGAGAATGAATTTTAGTTGATGGAACTAGAGATGATAACTCCTTTGAGCAGTGACCATGATAGTATCTGTAGAAAAGAGAAAGAGATGCAACTTTACGACGATGGGAAAGAGGTTCAAGCTTAGCAGATAGTCCAGGTCCAACAACATTTACAATGCGTTTTTGGACCTTGTCAAGAAAAGAAAGTAAATCGTTAGAAGAACCAGCCCAAATATGACAACAGTATTCCATACAGGGACGAATAAGAGATTTGTAGAGGTAGAGAATGGAATCAGAAGTAAGGAAATGGCGAGCACAATAAAGAGAAGCAACCTTAGCATAAGCTAATTTAGCAATCAATTGTATATATGGTTTCTATGAAAGGTCAGTAGTAAGCGATAATCCAAGAAGATGTAAAGAGGAGGACTCAGTAAGAGGATTGCCATTCATTAATATAGGAGTGTTGACCATATTATGGTAGTTGTTTGCAGTAAGCAATTGGGTTTTTTTAGAGTTGAAATTCACAAGCCACTGTGAACCCCAATCTATTACTGAAGTGAGATCAGATTCAAGATCAGCTGCTTGTTCTAGGCGATCGAAAAGAGAAGACTTTTTGTCAAGACAGGAGTATAAAGTTGAGTCATCAGCAAAAAGAGCTACTTTAGATGAAAGGTTGTCAGGAAGATCGTTTATGTAGATAAGAAACAAAACAGGGCCCAGGATGGAACCTTGGGGAACCCCAGAAGTTACTGGAAATAAAGAAGAGTGTTGGCCTTCAAGGATGACTTTAATAAACCGGTTAGAAAGAAATGATTTGATAATCTCAAAAACTTTCCCAGAAACACCATATGAAGCAAGCTTATGGAGAAGACCAGCATGCCAAACTTTGTCAAAAGTTTTAGATATGTCGAGAGCAATAGCCCTAGCCTCACCGCCTCCATCTAATGAACGATAAAATCTTTCAGTTACAGCAGTTAGCAAGTCGGCTGTAGAGCGAGAGGATCGAAAACCGTATTGATTGTCTGACAGTAGTTTATTTGACTCAAGATGAGATGTGAGGAATTTGTTGATCAAAGACTCAAAGACCTTGCTAATAACAGAAAGAAGACTGATCGGACAATAATTGGAGGGGTCAGAATTTTCTCCAGAGTTTTTGAATATTGGAACCACAGATGCCATTTTTCAACAAGCAGAAAAACAAGACTCAGTCAAACACTTGTTAAATAGTTTAGAGAGAATTGAAGAAAGTTCTGGAGAACAATTCTGCAAGACTGTGACAGGAATGTTGTCTGGACCACAAGCTGTAGACGAGTTTAATTGAGATATGACTTTAGCAACAGAAGCCGGAGTGATTTGAATGTCTAACAATGAGTCAACCTGTTTGACTGGAATGGAAGGAAGAGAATGTCCATAAGATTCAAGAGTGGAATTAGAAGAAAAGTTCTTTGCAAATAGTTCTGCCTTATCCTTGGGAGAGGTAATAAGATCAGTCCCATGAATGAGAGATGGAATGTTAGATCTACCCTTGTTAACAATGCTGTTGAAGATTTTCCAAAAGTCTTTAGAGCCTAACTTCTGCGATAAGATGCGAGATTTAGTGAACTGAGAATAATGGAGTTTAGCATCAGAAAGCACCTTTTTACATCGATTTCTTGCAATAATAAATAGCCATTTGTTCTCAAGAGAGTTGTTCTTTTGAAAAAGATGAAAAAAATGATTACGATTGGATATAGCAGCCGCACAAGAAGGAGAAAACCATGGAGTAGAATGAGGCTTGACTTGAAACCAACGAGAAGGAATAAAAGCTTCCATTCCAGCCTGAATCCAGGAGGTTACGTAGGAGGCGCATTTGTCAGCTGAAAGAAGAAAGATTTATAGAGATCATTGCATGGTCAGAACCTAAGGGAGAAAAGGGAGAAACTGAACATAAGCTAGGGTCAGAGACAAGACATAAGTCAAGGAGTGAAGGTAAATGATTAGGGTTGTCAGGAAAACGAGTCACAAAGTTAACTATCTGAGTAAGAGATTGAGAAACGCAGAAGTTAAAGGCTTTAGTGCCAGCAGGATCAGTGGTGTTAGAGCCAAGCCATTCAGTGTGATGGGCATTAAAATCACCAACAACAACAATATTGGCAGAGGGGTAAAGAGAGAGGGCATGGTCAATTTGATCAGAGATAACATCTAAAAGAGTGCAATCATGGGAAGAAGGAGAACAATAAAGAACAAAGAGAAAGGTGATAGAGTGAAGAGGTGCTAGGCGAAAGCACATAAAAGAATGGTCAAAAGATTCGAACCTGATTTCACGACAAATAGGGGAATTAATGCGTATGTATACCTCTAAACCTAGCATGTGACAATTGGAGTCTTTACGAATCAAAGGATAGTACCCATCAACACTGACATCTGAAGAAGGAATTGCAGAACTTAAATTTGTTTCACTGAGTGCAAGCAAGTCTGGTGAATTTTGCAGGAGGTAAGACTCAACTGATGGAAAGTTGCTTCGTAAACCGCGAATATTTGTAAAAGATATATTAAAATATTTAGGTGGTGGGGATGGTTTTTTAGGTTTTAAATTTTTGGTTACTTTGGTCATGATTTGGGTTTAATGAGAACTAGACTCGTTCATAGATGTTAAATATTTTAACTAACTGTTGAATATTTTAACTTTTTTTGTTATTTTTTCTGACGCACAAAAATTTTTTAACACTAACAATAAAACCCTTTATATACAGTTTTTATCTTTTTTAAAAAAGTTTATATTTTTCAAAACTTTTATAGAATTTAATTTTAATTAACTAATATAAATACAGAAGGAAAACTTGTAGATTATTTTAATATGACATATATAAACGAAATGTAAAAAAAAATAAAAAAATTTAATCTAAGCAATATAACCTTACAAACATGTGAGTATTTAGATTATATTAGTTTTATAAGTTACATTTGATCAGGTTTTGGAAATATTGAAACAACTAACTGATTCAAATTGTTTTTTTTTGCAAGAGATTATACATCTGACAATAATAACAATAAAAAAGTGGGCACAATTAGGCTTGCTAGCTTCATAATGACTATTGAGGCTAGCTAGCCTTGTACAGGCAATTAGCATTAGCTAAGAACCAATAATTCAAGAACATGATTAAAATAATATCTTGTTATAAAAACAATAGAAATAATATATATATATATATATATATATATATATATATATATATATATATATATATATATATATATATATATATATATTATATATATAAAATAATATATTAAAAGCTATAAAATATTATATATATATAAAATAATATATTAAAAGCTATAAAATATTATATATATAAAATAATATATTAAAAGCTATAAAATATTATATATATAAATATTATATTAAAAGCTATAAAATATTATATATATAAAATAATATATTAAAAGCTATAAAATATTATATATATAAAATAATATATATATTATATATATAAAATAATGTATTAAAATAATATATTAAATAAAACAATACTTTTGATTAAAGATTTAAAATTAAAAATTTTTTTTGTTCTTTTAAAAAGTTAAGAAAATTTTTATTTATATTGATATATTGTAAAAAATTTGCAAAAATATTTTATATTGATAATTCCTCCTAATTCAGAGAAGAATTCCTCCTGATGAATCTTTCAGAAAAGAATTCCTCCTCATTAATTTTTTAGAAGTATTCCTCCGGATGAATTTTTCAGAGAAACTGACAATGGAAAAAAATAGGTAATTAAATGATAACAAGAAAAAAAGAACTAACAAGAATACATAAATACTAATAGTTATAAAAAACAAACTTACTTTTGAAAGTTCATTTTCAGTAGCTTCTCGAACAAAGTTTGATGGAATAAGTCCATATCTACCATTGATTGACCCCTACATATATAGATGTCATAAATTATGTTAGCGTATTCTGCATAGAATTCCTAATGCTCTTAAAGATCAAAGTAGTAATAAGCAATTAATAGTAATTAATAGTAATTAGCAAAAAAGTATTTATTTTGTTTTTCTCATTTACTACTGTCAGTTTCTCTATCTGAAGATCTGATTGATCAGGTTCATGCTGATGATCTTAAAAATGAAGACAGAAGAAACTTATACATTTATATAAGTTTCTTCTGTCATGTGTAATGGTGATTTTACAAAAGAAGAAACTGACAGTAGAAGATATCAAACATAAATGTTTTTATTACTAATTTATATATACAGACAGTAAAAAAATGTTCTTTTATTTCATAATAATTTTTATGTTTATAAAAAACTTTTGTTTTCTTACATTATAAAAACCATCTTCATCCATTTCACCAAATACATATGCAACTTCATTGGCTTGAAATGAAAGTTCAACCTTTTTTGTAAATAATTTTTTTTGTATCAGATTAGAAAATATAAAACATTTATACATAAAGGTTTATAGTAATAACAACAATTGAAATTTTTTTAAAAATCATAGATAAAATCATTATTTGCTTATAGTAAATTTCACCTCAGAATCAACATTTGGAGAGCTCATGTTTGGATCATATGAATATATTGTGATCATTATTTTTTGATTCAAATTATTTAGCTGAGTTGGCATGCTTGCTGATAAACTATTTACAAAATAACCCTGTGAAAGATCAGTCGCACTTTTACTTTTTACAACAAAACCCTGTGAAAGATCAGTCACACTTTTACTGGCAAAAAGATTATCTTTTGCATCTATTTTTGTGTGCTCTTTGACATTCTTTTTTTCTTGGTTAATATTCTTTGTTTCTTGATTAACATTTTTTTTTTCTTGGTTAATATTCTTTGTTTCTTGGTTAACATTTTTTTTTTCTTGGTTAATATTCTTTAAATTATTTTTGCTTGTTCCATTTGAAACTTCTTTTACCATGTTACTAGGAACTAATCCTTTAACATTTTTTAACTCTCCTAGATAGAAACCATCTTCATCCATGCTTCCATAAATTTGAATTAAATCACCTTCCTCAAAACCAAGTTCCTCAGAAGCAAAATCAATATTAGGAGACATAGTAATTGGATCATAATTGTATAAAGCCACAAACACACGAACTTCTTCTTCAAACACATTTTTCTTAGGTGTTAATTTATTTAAGTTAATACTTTCAGTAAAATTGTTCAAAATAATACTTTCAGTATCATTATTTAACTTTTTATCATCTAAATTGTTGATAGATTGTTGTGATTGGTTAGTTTTAACAGAAGCAGCTTTATAATTGTTGATAAATTGATGTGATTGGTTAGTTTTAACAGAAGCAGCTTTATAAGGAAGTGAAGTTAAAGAGTATTCATCTTGTTCAATAACATCTTTTTGATTAGGTTCCTTTGATAAAGAAGGTGAACCTGAACTGTCAATCATACCAAAAGAATACATGGTAACAGGTGGAGGCTTAATAAGTAAAGAAGGTGAACCTGAACTGTCAATCATGGTAACAGGTGGAGGCATGGTAACAGGTAAAGTGTCACTAGGACTAGCACTAGGGCTTTCCCAAAAATTATTTTCAATTTTATCAATTTTATTATTCTTTTCCTCTAATGTAGACTTTGAATAATATTCATTAATATCTTCATCATTAAAATCAAGTGATCTTCTTGCAGAATGAGGTCTTTTTTCGGAGGGACGTTTAGAGGACAAATTATTTTTTTTATCAAATGTAAACGTGGGAGATAGTAATAGTGAATTATTATCAACTACTTTTTCACCAATCAGTTCATTTAAAACCTTTTCACCAATCAATTCATTTAAAACCTTTTCACCAATTAGTTCATTTAAATGGACTTGAGATGATTGCTTTGTAGAAGTTACATTTTGTAATTTATCAAAATTATCAAGTGGTAATTCAGGATAATCATCCATTAAATCTTTTAGCATTTCATTTTTTTCATCCGAATATATAACTGAATCAAGTGAAAAGGAGTTATGATTTTCATCAAGAAATGTTTGTTTATTTTCATCAAGAAATGTTTGTTTATTTTCATCAAGAAATGTTTTAATTTCATCATAGCCTTTGCATTCAGGGAACTGAGGAAAATCATTTTTTGTGAGTTTGTTTTTTTCTGCAAAAATAGATTTTTCAATATTTTTAACAAAAGAAACCTCTAATAACTTATCATCAAATGAAAATGAATCTGTGCTTCTAACACTAGATTCATTTTCTTCCTCAATGGTAGATAGTTCATTGCATGAAATTACAAGACGTTCTTCATTTTCTTCCTCAATGGTAGACAGTTCATTGCATGGAATTACAAGACATTCTTCATTTTCTATAATGTTCTCATCTAGTATGCTGTCAGAATTAAGAGTAGTGCAATTAGAATGTTCATTTCTATTGATCTAAAGTAAAAAATGTTAGTTTAAAACATAACTTTTAAAGTAACATCACTAATATCACTATTAATAATATCATCATTATCACAATTGTCATCATGATAATCAACAATGTAAATATTTTAAAGGGTTTTTAAGACATATAAGGTATATTCTATATATTTTAACTTTTCTGTGAAAAAAAAATCAACACAATTGACTTTTTCCTCTAGCTATTGCACTGAGCATCAAGTTGTATTAATCAAAATCAATTTCCAAAACTTTTTCAAATGTTAATTTTGACTAAATTTGCTTTATAGTTTTTCATTTACTTTTGTCATTATTAAAACCTGATTTTTTTGACTTAACTGCCAACCTTAAAGTGTTTGAGGTCGGCAAATATATGGTTACTACAACTGAGTAGGCAAAAGGTTATTTTGAACTGTGAAGTTTTGAAAAAAAAAAAAAGTTTTTAGAAGATGTTAATGACAACAATGTGTTTAAGTCAATAGAAAAATTGTTTTGTATTTCTTTTTTACTATTATGTATATATATATATATGTATTTCTTTTTTACTATGTATGTATGTATATATATATATATATATATATATATATATATATATATATACATATATGTACATATAAAATAAAATAAAAAATTACAAATTTATCTTCTTTTATGATGCTGTTATTGTTTTCTGAAACTACTCCTGAAAAAGTGGTATTTTTAAAAAACACATCTTTATCATCTGTTAATATAAAACTTTTGCTTGCTAATTCTTTTATGAAATCGTTGTTAGTGACATTATTTTGATTTTCTGACAAAGTATCAATAAAAGATGCTTGAGTGTCTGAGGTATGCTTGCATGGCTTTTCTTTAGAAACATCTACAAAAGATAAAACATATTTACTGGTCCATAGATTATAAGCAATTTCATAAAATTTATGATGAAAAACAACAAATTTATATCAAGCAAACAACTTTTTAGTTATTAACTCCTATGATGTTTTACATTGAATTTTTTTTTTTTTTTGCTTCTTCTACCACTCCACATTAAAAAAAAATAAAACAAACAAACAATATAACAGGATACAAACCTAAAAGACAAAGGGTGCAAACTGTATTAGGTGAATGGATAATTTTAATGGTGGTCCCCAGCCTTTGTAAGTTTTATAAATTTAAATGTTATTTCCTATTTACCTTTCACCCAGCAATTTTTTGATTAAACCTTTTATTTTAGTTGTTAAAATTTATTTTATGAGCAAATATGTAAATATTATTAACATACAAATACACTCAATAAATATTATATAAAAATATTATTAAAAAATAAATCAACTGCTGTTATTAAAAACAACATTCTATTGTTTTTATTATTGTTATATTTTTTGTTATTAATATTATTATTATCAGGATTATTATTATTGCTATTATTATTACTATTATTATTATTATTATTATTATTAATGCTGATGCACATTAGATCAGCACTCGGATTGTAGAGCTTCTGATTGAATGAGTGTGAGAGTGTCAGTATACTGATTATAGGCTGACCAGAGGTTTTTGATAAAATTCCGGGACATTTGAATAAAAATCGGGGACATTTGAAATTGTACTAAAAAAATACATTAAATCACTTTTTAATAAAACGTTTTATGTCAGATCATAATCATTTTTATTAATACTTTTCTGAATCATGAACCTGTTCTAATAGTTTAAAATTATTTTTAAGTTATAAAACTGAACACAATTTTCATTGCTATTTTCTTTTTTGACGGTTCAAATGGCATGTTCTTCAAAAATAGCGCTCAAATATTTTTTTTAATCTTTGAATAATCTTTTATGTTAAAATTTTATTAACAATTTCGTTGAATAAAATTCTAATGCATAATGTTTGAATAATTTTTTTTGACACAAATAAAGTCATAGAAAATTATAAGTTCAAACTAAAACTTTACATCAAGACTTGTTGATAATTACCAAATAGTCTATAAGTTATTGGTATAGTTAAAGTTTTCTGAAGACATTGTAAGTATAGTTTGGAATGAAAATTTAAACAACATTTAAATTTTAAGTGGAACGACTTTTTTTCAAAATACATATCTCTTTAATTTTTTGGAAAATTTTTAACAGATTTTTTATGAAAAATTAATTATTTTCTTGCAATTTATATGAAAATTTTCTAAAATTTAAAATCGGGGACAAATTGTCTCTTGCCGGGTACTGGGGACAAATATGAAAATCGGGGACTGTCTCTGGCAAAACCTAACAGATAGTCAGCCTAACTGATTAGGATATTGAGTGCCATAAAAACATATGGCCAGATAGTCTAATGTCTGTTTTGTCATTGTGGTGCACATTGAAAGAAGTCAGGGTTCACCAGCTACAAAAAAAAAAATGTTATTATTATCATTTTTATTAGTTCCTCACTAATTTCTATCTAATGTCTCAACACTTCAAAATTTGTGATAAAAATACTTGTGTTAACCATCTTTCACTTGAATGTGAAAGGTTAACTCATAAACTTTCTAGACACATAAAAAAAAATTTTCTTTTGAATATAACTCTTTTTCATTTGAATATAACTTCAAATTATTTTTTGTGAGTTTCAGCATCAACCAATCAAGAACTATAAAAATAAAAATATAGTATTAGTTTATATTTAATTTGATATAAAACTATATAAACTAAAAAGACAAATAACCTTTGAAGAGATTTAATTTTAGATGAATATATAATTTAAATAATTATTTTAGCAATAAGTGTTGCAGCTTATATCAACATTATAATATTTTATGCTAATGCATATTAACTTTTGTTAACTGCGTACTAACATTTAATAACTACTATATTATTTGTATTTACTATCCATATTGTTTTTAATTATTCCTTCATCAATGATCTATCAGTTATATTTTTGACTGATAAAACCATAGAGTCTACTAAAAAATGAAAAAAAGTCAAATAAAAGTTAAGTGGACATACATCAACTGATGGTTTATGTATGACTAGGCACTATTTAAAAAAAAAGAAAGGTTTTTCTAAATTTAAAAACTTAAAAAAAATGTTGTGTGACAAAATTGAATACTGCTCCCTCCCTCTGCAACAAATTGTTACAAAATCACTAAAGCCTTCCCTATAATGTAATGTAATTTGTAGACAAACCCTTACCAAATGAAGAAAATTCAACAAAAAGCAGGGTTTTGTTAATACTCACAGCCATTTTAGGGGTTCAAATTATTATAATAGAATGCTTATTATTTTATGATTTATTTAATAATTCAATTATCAAAAAATTAAACTATTATAAAATTCAGTTATATAATTTAAAAATAATATATAATTTTTTTATATAATTTAAAAATAATATATAATTTTTTTATTCAATTTTAAACTGAATTGAAATAAATAATATTAGTATCTACTTTTTTATTTACAAGAAACTATTAAGAAAAAATATAAAACTCATAACGTTTTTAATAAAATCTTCTTCTTTTGGTTTAAGACATTCACCATTAGGGACAAGAGTATTAATTTAGAAAAGAGAAAGGATTTAAACAAACTCAGAAACAGTTAAAGTGACAATGAAAATTTTAAAAGAATGCTAGAGGATAAATTTAAATTAAAAAATTCTAACAATATCATCATTAAAAATAAAACAGAAGATTTAAAAGCTAAACAAGCTTCAAAACAAGATTATAACCTTTAAAATGTTGACAACAAAAAAGAATTGCACATTCAATAAATATTGAGTAAAAACAAAAAACAAAAAGAAAAATAAGATTAAAATTTAAAGAATAATAGGTGAATTATAAACAAATGAAAGAGTCAATTACAAAATAAAATGGTTACCAAGAAATTTAAAGAGACAACAAAATATTTACTTAATATTACTCAATTAAAAAAAAGATGAACAGTATCTCATTATCTATCGACAGTATCTCCTGCCTTTTAGAAAGAATATAATGGTTTTCCCCTTTATATTCAAAAATATATTTAAAAAGATTTGACTTCTATTGTATTACAATTTAAAATAAGTTTTCATAGATCATCCTAGTCATATTTTAAAAATCCGGAAAATTGTTTGAATAAAATATCCGGAAAAAATCGGGAATTTGTTTTCCCTTATTTTCTTTTTAATTTTGCTTTTAGCAAAGTTTTTAATTTTTTTTGACACTTTTTATAATTTTTCTATGAGTGATGAGTGAAAAAGCTTAAAAAACAAATATATTACAAAAATATATACCTCAACTTGCATGTATTGAAAATGTTTTGGATATCCGGAAAAACTAAAAGTTAAAAAAATTATCTGGAATTCCGGAAATACCCGGAAAAAGATAATCCCTGGTTTTACACTGAATACAACACTTGCTTTTTTTATAAATTTTTATCAATTTTTTGGAAGGATTGATAACTATTATACTATTAACCAAGGTATTTTAGGGTAGAAAAGTGTAACTAATAGATGATAATTTGAAAAATTAACAAAGATCTAAAATTTTATCTTTAATACATGGGTCTAATCTTATTACCATTTCCAAAGAAAATCCAGAACTATTTGCAAAGAACTTTTTCTCTAATTCATCACTTGAATGTAATAACCACACTTTTCCTGTCATTCAGTCAGTCAGATTATGTTTCTACTTTTAGAAAACAATTCTGTCGAAACCTTACAAAAGTGAATTCCAGAACTTTCTGCGTTACTCTCTAAACTATATAACAAGTGCTGAAACATGTCCTTTCTACTGGAATTGAGAAATAAAATGAACTTATGGTTTCAACAATGAACATATGGTTTCAACAATGAACTTATGGTTTTGACAATGAACTTATAGTTTTGACAATGAACTTATGGTTTCAACAATAAACTTATAGTTCCAACAATAAGCTTATGGTTTCGACAATGAACTTATGGCTTTGACAATAAACTTATGGTTTCGAAAATGAACTTATGGTTTCGACAATGAACTTATCATGGTTTCGACAATGAACTCATGGTTTTGACAATAAACTTATGGTTTACTTAATCAGAAGCCAAAAGGCAGGGGGATCCTACAAAATAGCAGAAAATGAAGTAGTGTAATCGACTTTAGTTCAAAATCTGAGTTCAAATCAAACTGAGCTTTATTTCCAGATTTAAGATTTAAAAAATGTCTTTTTTTATTAAAAGATAAAAATTAGGTCTTCTTGCTGTAAATAAATGCACATGTGTAAAATGCAGAATGTACTATTAAACTTCAATAAAAACTTTAATAAAATTCAAAAACAAAAGAAACGGATAAGCAAATTTACTGTTTTTTTGCTAAAAACTTTTAAATACCATTTCTTTAAACAAAAAAACGTTATAAAAATATTTTTGAAAATGTCTAAAGGAATCACAACAATTATTATGGTATTTTATTTTTAACTATTATTACTTTACTTTTTTATTTTTTAAGTGAAATATATATTTAACTATTTTATTGCAGGGATAAATAAGTTAATGAAACCAAAATAATCAATTTAGTTTTTTTTATATGATTCTCCCTAAGGTTCTAAAGGGGGTTTATCTATTTTTTAAATTTTATTCTCAACCCTAATCCCTAAAACCTTTTTAAACAAGATAAACCTTGTCAAACAATGCCATTGTGCAGAGATGCACAATGCAGCGCAACAGCTCTTAGAGACATTAAAGTAGATTTAAACTCCGAATCTTTCTTGATTGGAGTTGAGTGTTCTACGAGCCTGCTACCACATATTATTTGTAAAGAGGGAATCAATGCAATTTTGATAGCAAAATCAATTAATTTTTTAAAATAACAATGTGAAATGGGTAATTATTTTATAGCAGTACTCTTTACTCAAACATTCAAATACCTAAAAATTTAAGGATAATTTAAGGGAGCTAATTGTGGAAAGCTGTTGGGTATCAGTTTACCTCTTGGGTAAAAATGTTAAAAATAGTGTCTTGTTACTATTAACAAATTCATATTTACGTAAACATATAAAAAAGATCTTAAAACATAATCCTGACCTTATAACATGTTGCATAGCGTAAACCTTAAAACACATGTTACATAGCTTATAAATATTTAAAAAAAAAAAAATTGAAAATATAAATTAACCAAAAAATTTAAAATACCTTCATTGCCAAAAGAAACAGTAGCAAGCAAAGGATCAGAAATCTCTCCATCAATCATCAATGTTGAAACGCTAACACTGCAAAACTGAGAAAAAACTATAATTGTTTGTCAAAACTTTCATCATTATTGTCTTTCATGTTATTGTTGAAGATTAGTGATGTACGTTTGCAGTTAAGTATTTGATGTCACATGTTGCAAACATTGTATGTAATTGAAAAACACCTAAGATATGTGTCATTATATATATTTTCCTTTGATTTCAAAAAAAAAAAAAAAAAAAAAAAAATGATCAAAATTAAACCTTTGAGTCAACATCAGAAATTAAAGCTTTTGTTCTCAAAGCTCCAAGAACAGTTTGGTTGAAAACCCCGTTTACATAAATTGTGTATCCTTTAATTATTGTCATATCTTTGATATCTAAAGGAGGTGACCAAGCCACTATCATACATTTGTCTAAATGTCTTTTTATGTGAACTTTTATTGGAGCAGAATTGGAAAACTTATCTAAACAAAATAAAAAAATAAAAAAGCAAAAAAAATATTTAAAATAATCTTTTATATATATATATATATATATATATATATATATATATATATATATATATATATATATATATATATATATATATATATATATATATATATAATATATATATATATATATATATATATATATATATATAATGTACATAAATAACAATATCACACACATATGCACACTCACTTATCACATACACATCTTTGGATATATTATCTGTATTTATTTAGGAAGGAGTGGAATAAATTTTAAAAACAGTTTGACTGGAGAGCTTTTAGATCATAGAGAGGGTTATACTAAAATTTTATACTTTGATATTTTATAGACTTATGTGTTTTATGTGTTTTGGTAGAATTAGATTAATAATGGAAAGAAGTTGTCGAAGGAAAGAGATAGTGTTGATGGTTCCAAACGAACTAGTGTTGAAGGTAAGAGATAGTGTTGATGGTTCCAAACAAACTAGTGTTGAAGGTAAGAGATAGTGTTGATGGTTCCAAATGAACTAGCAATTTAGGAGTTAAAAAAGTTTAAACTTAGAAGTAAGATTAGATCACAAAGTTTTGTATTTAAATTTAGAAGTAAGATTAAGTACATTAAGATTGTAATTCTGAAAATCAACTTTAATGTTTTGAAAATATCCTTGTTGTTGTGATTGTTCCCATATTTGATATTTGTTTAGAACTTACTATTATTTTAGTAATGTTTTTAATGTTTACTAATGTTTTTTAGAATTTAAGTTTTAAGATTTAAGTTTTTAACTTGACTTTAGGATGGAATACAAACAAAAGGTTGGAGTCAATTTTAATTCCAAGATATTTAATTGAGTTTATAGGATTGATTTTAAAGCATAATTTTGTTTTATAGTTTGTTTTGAATAAAAAAAAATTTTTTCATATATATTTTTCACAGCAGTCGGATTTGTGATATTTTCTTTCAATTTAGGTTTAAGAGTTGAACTATAGTAGGAAGGTCTAATATTAATGATTTTATTTATCCCTTTTCAAGTATTCTTAATACTGTTTAGATTTTTACTAAAAAAGGTTATGTAAGAAGATTTTTTACTAAGTTTTAATATATTGCTAACTCTATTTCTATAAACTTAAATCTTAAAAACAATTCATTTTTAGTACTAATGTTGTTACATATTGTATGTTTTTTATAAATCTTTTTTTAATAGAAATAGAAGTATTATATGTCACTTGTGATCCCAGATAGATTTCAAGTGATTTCAAGTTTTGATTTAAATTTAATTTGCTGCTTGTTTATTTTTTTGTATGATCTAAGAATCTAAATATTTTAAAAAGAAAACTAATGAATTGATTTTTTTTTTTGTTATTCACCTCCTCAAGGCCGAGAAGGCCACTACAGACGAGGAGGCTACTTAATAGTGGTTATAACCCTCTTTCAACTCTATAACTCCGAAACACAAACCTTGACGAACAAAGGCCGCTGCTCAGAGAAACAAGTTGAGCGCTGTACTACCAGGAACGTGGTGGGGATTGAAGCCAGAAAATTTGGTATTTTGCAGGTTTCAGTACAAAATATACACAAAAAATGACTTAAGTGGAGAACTTGATACCAAAAAGGGTTGGTAAATGTGGTAAGAAGAGAATCCTAACACCATGCGGGGAAAGAATACAAAGATTGTTCTAGAAAATAAGCAGGGCACCAACAATGAAATAACTGAAAAGCTCGACTAATCTGGGGTCAAAATGTCAAAGAGAACGGTTCAACACCGCCTGCACAATCTTGACTACATTTCACAACGTCCAGCTAAGAAGCCTAAGCTGACACAAAAAATAACGCAAAAAAAGATGGAGTGGGAAAAAAAGTACAGGAATTTAATGGAAGTTGAAAATCAATAAAATTAATTCAAATGATTTTAAAACATTCACTTTTTTACATCAAACTTTAAAAATTAACTTATATAATATTTTAAAGTATGCTTTAGCAACGAGGATACTTTTTTAGAGTTAAAAAAGAAGGCTCAATACCCAAAAAAAAAAAATACTTACCCAAAAGAAAAAAATACTTACTCATTTAAATTGTTAAACACCCCACCTCTGCAATGATCTGGTCAGTGATATGTGAAAGGGGAATGGGGATGCTCTATAATGTTGAGGGAATAATGAATCAGTTGCAATATAAAAAAGTTCTGGAACAAAGACTGTTGCCATAATTGGCAGAATGGTTTGGTCCAGGTGAAAAAAAACCTTTATGCAGAACGGGGCACCATGTCATACAGCTTAATCAATTAAAAAATATCTATCAGAACAAAATATTCCATTACTGGGATTGGCCAGAAAACTCTCTTGAACTAAGTCCTATAGCAAATGTTTGGGTGCTTTTAAAAGAGGAATTATTCAAAGAAAATATTAGGAATATAATATTATTAATATTAAAATAGGAATATTTAATAGTAAGAATAACTCACTACTGGAACTATAATGAAAGATTGCAGAAAATGGCTAAAAAGTCCATGAAACGTATGCCTAAAAAGGTACTTGCTATTATAGAGGCTAAACGGGGGAATCACCAAATATTGATCTTGAATATATATTTGAAGTAATTTAATGTATTTGTAGTAAATGATAAAATTTAGTACCAATTTGTTAAATGCTTTTTATTTGTCAAAAAAAAAAAAAACTCATTTCTTTAATAAAAGTTACTTTTGAGTACATAAATTACAAATAAATATTACAATAAAATAGACTTTGAAACTTAAGAATGTAAAAAATTGTGCGTAGCCATAATAAATTGTCAAATGACTGTACAAACTCTAATTATTGTTTGGATTAAAAAAACTTGCAAAAAACTGCAAAAATAAATAATAAACCTAATCTTTATTAGATAAATTTATGAACAAATATATAACAATTATATGCACATAAAATATATAAACATTATATGCATAACTATTTTCCTGTATTATCTTATTTGTATTCAAGTTGTTAATTTTAGGCAAACCTAAGATTATATATAAAACTAGGACAGGCTCTTCTTGTCAGCATGCAGTGGTATACTTAGTACTTAACAGAAAAGCTAGTGGTCCTAGCAATGATAAATGATGTTAGCCATATATATATATATATATATATATATATATATATATATATATATATATATATATATATATATATATATATATATATATATATATATATATATATACTATATATATTATATATATATACATACATATATATATACATATATACATATATATATATATTATATATATATACATACATATATATATACATATATAATATATATATATATATATATATATATATATATATACATACATATATATATATATACATATATATATATACATATATATATATATATACATATATATATATATACATAAAGTATATATATATATATATATATATATATATATATATATATATATATATATATATATATATATATTTATATATATATAAATATATATATATATATATATATATTATATATATATATATATATATTTAT